TAAGGTTTACGACTAGATAATGCACATACTTTGAGCTTTTGTTATGCAAATATGTCTTGTTATCTTCTTTTTTTCAGTGCAGGAAGCTAGATTGAATGACTTGCAGGTTCCCTTCAGTTCAGCCTTACAATTGGGTAATTTTATTAAGGTAGGAAAATCATGGGGAAAAGGTAATGCTTCTGCACCATTTTTTCAAAACTCAGCTCTCCCTTCTGTCGTAAACTGGAAGTGGTCTGTACTGCCCACTGAATTATAGAAGTTACAATGCTGAATGTAAGACTGGAATCCCTGTGCCAGGCTCTCTCTTCCCAAGTTGTTGTTTTTCACAATTAAGGAAATGAAAGACAGCTTGTTGTCGTGTCTGCTCCTGCTGTTGCCTCCTGTCCTGGCCAGACTCCTTTGGCCAGACTGTCTATCTGCAAAATGCTCACGGCAGGTCTGGGGAGAGGAATCGTGACTGTTTCAGGAGCAGCAGGAGGGGGGACGTGCCTTGGGAGTGCCTGGGGGACGTCAGCCCCTTCCTCATTCCCTGTAGAATCTTTGGAACATTTTCCATGAGCTTCTGGTAGTTCTTTGTGCACTGGATTTAATGAGGCTTTGGCCACTAAAGGAAGTAGCAGATGCACAGACAAAAGATGGTGAGCATCCACTACAGCTAATGGGAGACGTTCAGCCCCTTCTCCCTGCACCTCCCTCTCTTTTATTATCATTTTTGATCCATTGAAGAAAAAATAGATATCTTGGAAATGAATCCTACAAGCCTCTTCTTCTGTAACTTTCTTAAGACAGAGGAAATCCCATGGAGTCTGAAAACCTTTATAAGAATCATCTCAATGTGCAACAGTATTTTCATTCTTTGAACCACCTTTCCAATCTTCAGAGTTCCACGCAAGGAACATAAGAAAGAGATAACACACAATAAAGTTTATGATTTCAGTTAATCTCATTATACAGTTTAGCACTGTAACATGGAGAAGGCCAACCATGCATGGAAGAGAAAATGTTGGACTGAGGAATATCAGTTGGCCTTTCATATTTTAATCAGCCTTTGAGCCATTTCCAGTAGCAGATAGAACTATGACTTGCTTCAAGGACGTTTGCCAGTTGGGAAGTATATAAATTTAACAAATACATAAAAAGGAACATATTGCACAATGCAGGCGGAATGTATGAAGCGTATTAACTATGGGACGTTCATCAGGAGAGTAACTGTTCCAGGTATTCTGGAAGCAGCCCTAATCTCCTTGAAACTGGGAGATTGTATCAGAAAACAAGGGAAGAGAGACTCAAAGGAATTTGCAGGGCCAGTCCAACTACTAGGCAGAGAAGAGCAGCTGGCAGAGACAGCTGATTTTGGGTGTCATGAAACAACAGCAATTTTTAACAAAGGTATTGTTGTTTTATTTTTACACTCAGGAAGAAGTACTTGTTGGATTTTCTGTCCTGTATGCTACAATAATTTAACTAGCTTTGGTTACTGTACACTTTGATTGGGGATGGCAGGGACACATGCTATCTACCATTCTTTTGCAGGCATCAAAGTCTTGCATCATTCCTGCATTAATCAGAAAAGTAACTCAAATACTTTATTTCTTTGGAAGAAGAAACTTATTTCTCTGAGGAACTGAAGGGCACAGTGAAAATATAACCTCTGCCTCGGTGATTCTGGCTGAATTGGCTGGTGCATGACAGGCCTTTTTTCCACCTAAATTTGTGTAGGATTGTGCTCTGAATCTTTAAATGATTTCCCCTGCTTCATCAAGCTTTCATTTTGCTTCAGCAACAGGTTATGAAAAAAGATTAGCAAGAATATAACCATGTAGCAAATTGCCTGATAGCTGAAGTGGTATCCTTATTTCAGAAATTCATAATTTCTTTCAGCTAAGACTCTGACCATTACAGCAGATCAAGATGATATGATGATGATGATGATGATGATGATGATGATGATGATTTTACATTTATATCCTACTCCTTTTTCTCTTGCAAGGAACCCAAGCCACCTTGCAAACTTTTCCTCTTCCACATTCACTTCTTACAACAACAGTCCTGTGAGGAAGGTTAGGTGGATGGTCAGCAGCTGTCTCAGAGTTCCCCAGTGAGCTTCATGGCCAAATGGGGATTAGAACCTGGATTAGAACCTCCCAGGCCAGCACTTCACCACCACACCACGCTGGCTATCAGTCATTAGGGGAAAGTTCATTATATTACACAGAATCCAGTTCCCAGGGTATCCTAAGTTTACATTAAGCCCCATTATTTCAGTGGCTGTCCTCTAAGTTTGACTAGCATTGGATAAAATTAACATTGCAGGAAGAATTTGCTCCGGCAGTTACTCTTTGCTTCTGGAGAAAAACTTGGTGGCTTCAAAGAGTTTTTACCTGCTTCATTTTGTATATTCTTTTCCAAAAGGTTGTGCTTGACAAATATTGTTCAACCCCTTTTATTCTCCATCATGGTCAGCTCAGGGTTCTGTGCTGTCCCCCATTCTACATCTGCATTAAACCACTGAGTAGGGTTATCTGGAGTTTTGGGGTGCCTTGCCATCAATAAGAGGCTCTCTTTCTTATTTTATCTTTAGCAAGTGAGGTTGTACATGTGCTAAACCAGTGCCTGGAAGCAACAATGGACTGGATGAAGGCTAACAAATTGTTTACCCTGTTTTGGATGGGGTTGCACTCCCCTTGGAGGATCAAGTCCTTAGCTTGAGGGTCTTCCTTGTGCCATCTTTGTTACTCAGGCTCAGGTGGCTTGGTGGTATGCAGCACCTTCTATCACCTCCGGACAAGGACAGTCCAGTTTCAGTAATCTATGCTCTAGTAATCTCTGAACCAGATTACTGCAATTTACTCAACAAGGGGCTGCCCTTGAAGATTGTTCAGAACCCACAACTTGTGCAAAATGTGGCAGCCAGATTAATAAGTGGGGTCGACACATAACACCATTGTGGCCACTTGCCCTGGCTGCCTGTATGCTTCCAGGTCCAATTCAAGGCGCTGGTTTTAACCTATGAAGCTTAGGACCACAATACTTGATGGAGTGCCTTTCCCAACCTCAGTCTAGCTGGGTCTTCCACTGAGAGGTTCAGATTGGAGCAGGAAGGGAGGGCTTTCTCAGTGGCGGCCCTTATCTTTGGAATGACCTCCCCACTGAGACCTTCCTTGTCATCTTTGCAGTCCTTTATGCTGAGACTTGTAAAGATATACAAGGGATTGAACTCAAGTATTTCCCAAGTATTTTGCAGACGACTCTCTATTGTAGGTTGGGTTAGCTGCTTTTAAATTTGTTGAATTTTGGAAAGGTTTTATTGTGTTGTTTTTATGAACTGTTGTAAACTGCCCAGACATGCATAGCTATTGGACAGCATAGAAATTTGTTTTATTTATTTATTTGATTTATATGCTGTCCCACTAGACATAGGCTTTCTGGGTGGCTTACATCAAGATAAAAACCATGCAATATAATAAACAATACCATATACAGCACAATAAACACAATTACAATCAGTCGAATAACAATAAAAATCCATAAATAAAGTACCAAAATTAAAGAAGACAAGAAGAATAAAACAGAAAAATAAAAGAAATATTATACAAGTATATAATATTTTGATTTATTGCTGTTGCCCTCTGGAATGTTGATGTATTATTGGCAGGTTTTGATTTTGGACATTGTATGTTGGATTTACTTGCTGTATTATATGATTACTATTTTTATGATGGAAGCCATTTTGAGTTTATTTGGAGTGAAATGAGTAAATGCATAAATACATGATGGAAGCTTCGGGGAGGGGGAACCCTCTTTTTAATTCGATATCAACGAGGAATAAGTTTAGGAAGCGAAAGCCCCATCAGTTCCCTCTGCGATGCACACCAGTGGCAGGCCATGTGAAGAAGAATCAAGGTGCATTAAACCTGCAGGACCCTGGGTGTTTTCCAGACCAACCTTTTATTGTTACTCATTCATGAAGTCCAGGACGGCCAAGGCAACACTCAATTTGTAGCCCTCTTGAGTTGTGTATCCTTTTTAAATTCCTCTTTAACTAGGAAAAACAAAACGTGTCAAGGAAGGAAAATTGAAATAGCTGCGCAGTGCCTTTTGGTTGTTTTTCTTTGCTAGGAGTTCTTTGTGTGGAAGCATATTTGGGGACAGATTCTAAACCGTCCTAAAACAGGGAGCTGAGATGGCCAAGACATTTTGCTGCCTGAGGCACAGGATAAAACGGCACCTGGTCACTCTTGCTGCTGAACATCGGCTGAAGGGACCATGGCCTCCAATGCACCTAAGGAAAGCAGGAGGTGCAAGAAAGACCAGGTAGCGTGCACAGCTCTTTCCTCCAGCCACTGGTCGGTGCTTCCTCAGGTCCGCAGCACTGGTTGCTGCTCTCTGATTCTGCCCAGTGCTAGGGCTGGTCTTTCTGGGACCGGCAGACTTCACGCCTGTGAAATCTATTTGATGCAGCCTTCTAGAAGGTGCTTAAAGGGTGGCTTGAGATGCTGGGCACACAACTGAAATAAGGACCGGGGGCCGGGGTCCTTGGAGCACCTACTCAGCCTAGGTATGTGTCGTACGCCTTATACAAAACCCAAACAAAATCCCCCCCCCCCCCCCGTTTTTCTTTCAGCATCCTACTGTGGGAGTTCAGGACCCCCACGGATCTACAGAAAATCTCTCAGTAGAGCCACCCTTCGCAGCCACCCCCTATCCTAAAACGAAGGTGATGTGTGGGGCCAGCAGGCTTCCCTTTTCTGATGCCTTCCAGACGTGCTGACTACACATCCTCCAGCAGCTTGCGAGCCAGGGTTTCTCGAGGGCACCAGGTTGGGGGGCGGCAGCGCCAGAGCGCGCGCGGAGGCGGGGCTTGGGGCAGGGCGGGCATCTCGAGCTCCTCCTCCGCCCCGGGCAAGTAGCGCTGAGGCCGCGGATTGGTCTGCAGGAGGTTGCAATCCCCGCCCAGCAGGGGAGGCTTTGGGTGCGCGAGCGGCGGCTGGAGCGCGATCCTCAGCGGCTTCCCAGCCCGAAGCGCTCGGCGCTGCGCTGGTTCCGCTGCGCGTACCGAAGCGGTTGGATCTATCAGGCAAGGAGCGGAGGGTTTCGCGTTGCTGTCATTTTGCTCCGCGGCTGATGTCAGGGCTGTAGTCGAGAGATCGCCTTCGCAGGGCAGCTGCACCTGGAGGTCCTTCGTGACGGCGCGGCTGTTTGGTGGTTGCGCCGAGGAGAGATGGGGCGCGCCGCGGATCTGGGGCTGATCCTCTTGCTCTGGGTTGCTTCGGAGCCCCGGCTGGTCGATTCAGGTGAGGGGCGCAGGAAAGGTGGGGTGTGGACGCATGAGGCTGGTGGGAACCGCAGCCGGGCTGTGAGTTCCTTCCTTCCAGTTTGGGCTCTTCGCTGGATGCACGGATCGGAAGGGGTTGAAACAGACCCCCCCCCCCCAGCTTGTGCGGTGGGGACTGGGCGCCCATTTCGCAGTAGAAGCGTGGGAAGAACAAGGCACCGTGTTCCGAGCCCTGCGCAGCGCCCCGGGCACTGGCCGAGGAGTAAAGGAAATGATGATTGAGTTCAGTAGTAGTCATTGTAGCGTGGTTCGACGTAGGCTCCTCTGGCCGACAGACGGTTATTTGGGAACCAACCTCCCTTCCGATCCTGCCCCGCGGAGACTTGACATCTATAGGAAGCCCAATACAGGCGGCCAAGTTGCCTGTGAATATATGTGGCAAAACTTCTCTCACCTCTTTGAAGTGTGGTCCCGATGATCAAGTTACGCACCGAGCAAAGAGAGAAAGAGAGAGACAATGCTCACCCGGAGCTAGTTTGGACGTTTTCTCCGTAGGCGCCCTGTGTTCCAGCCTAGCGGGGAGCATTTGCTATCTAGCCCAGGATGTGAGGGCGAAACTAGGAAAAGAAGGGGGAAAACGCGGTTCCCTTGCACTTTTTAGTTACAAAAGCAAAGAAGAGTTTTGCCACACACCCAGCAAACCAGCTCAGGTGCGGCTGAAAGAGACAAACTTAATGAATTTTTGCAAGGAGTGGAACGAAATGAAATAATACCAATACATTTATTAAAATAAAATACCACATCATTTTTAAATTATATGTATACATTCCACAAAATACCATAGGAAGCTGCCATCAATTATTGGGGTGTGGGGAAGCAAATTAACAGAAGCTAATTCTGTACAAGACCAACATAATCATCATTTTTCTTGTCAGTATAAATAGGATGGTTATTTTGTAGGTGTCTCCCTCCCACTCAATGTTTCCAGTGTAGAAAACATATTTGATGAACTAGTGGAAACTCTCATCAGTCACAAGCTTTCCCAGCCAACTTCCCACTAGATGTGACCACACTACAACTCCCATCTTCCCCAGCTGACTGGCTGTATGGCAGTGGTTGTAGTCCAGCACCTCTCATGAGCTCCAGGTTATTTCCATATGCTGAATCATAAACGTGATGCAGGTTGACATTGATGTGGATTTAAAAAGAAAACAAAGACAATCCAACTAAACATTGCAGACTAAATGCCAGCCTAGCAACTTTTCACATTGCTTGCAGCAGAGGTTCTTGGAAGATTCAGCTAAGCTTTAAGACCACAATGAGATTTGTATAGCAACAAAGGAAATAAGCAACTAAGCCATCTATTATGGCTATTGGTGGCTTAAGTTGGCAGGATGGTAATTTAATAATGTTGGTGCTTACGAGGAGAGGTGATAGGCATTGTATGTAAATGTCTGCCAAGGTCCTAAAGAGGTAATTGTTAGAGCTTTTGTTGTGCTCTCTGACTCAAGATGGATAACTGGAGGATAATAATCATATCAGTGCGGTTTTAAGTGTTGCCCAACTTGTAATAAAGTTCAGCAAACACTTGTGTATGAAAGCCTTGGCTTCTCATTGGTGTGCCACGGGTGAAGAATCTGTGCCTCCCATTTGCAAAAGGTGTCATGCAGACCATGGGTGCATACAGGTCAGGCCTTCAAGAGTCTTGCTTCACAAAAATCAATTCGAGAGTTGGGAAATAGACATTCTCATTGTACTAGAAATGAGCCAAAGATCTACCAGTAGATCCAAATCTCCTTCTGGGTCCAAAGCCTTTTTCTATTTAGAAGAACTAGATTTCTTGATAATGTTGATATTTTTGGTGGGGGGGGGGCGGAATGAGAATGTTGGCATCTTCATTCCTTTTCTGTCTACTGTTTGATTTTTCCATGGATAATTAATTATCTGGTTTCCTTTATTCCCCAAGCCAAGTACTTGAATTATGTAGGGACATCTCTCCCCGCGCTGCAGGTATACATATCCCTACCTGTCCCTTTTTTCTCTTGAGGTGATGTGATCCACATCAGTAAATTCAGCAGGATTGTTCTCAAGGTGACAGCCAGAAGGATGCGTTCATGTAGGATACATCCAGCAAGATTGTCCATCCCTAAGCCCCACTGAAATCACTGACAAGCAGCAACATAATTCATATTTATTTGTGTATTTAGTTGAGTTACATCCCTCTTTTTTCTTACAATGGACTCAGAGTGATTGACATCATTCTCTTCCTGTTGCTCATATTCCCACAACAGCAGCCCTGTAAAATAGGTTGTGCTGAAGCTGGCCCAAAGTCATCCCGTTGTTTCCATGTCTGGGTGGGAACTGGAACCCTGATCACCCAAATCTCAATCCCACACTCTTAACCAGTATACCATACTGGGTCTCAGTTCAGTAAGACTTACTGCAAGATAAATGTGCACAGGATTTAGCTGAGAGCTGCACTCTTGTACTGACTTACCTGGAAGCAAGCCCTACTGAATTCACTTGGAGTTGCTTCATAATTCATCTTCATGAGTTACGTAGATATGTGCAGGATTGTACACATGTGATGTTCAAAGCAATTTCACAAGGAAATCCCAATGGTTTCAATAGGACTTACTCCCTGGTAAATTGGGTTATCACTGGTTTTGCTGGATATTCATCACTGACTTTTAGGGATAAATTTATCTACAACTAAGTAATTAAAAAGATAAATGTAGTGCCAGAAATCACAATGAATTGATTAGTGTCATTTCGGAAGTAAAATCTAAGTAAGAGGCAAGACTATCTCAGCATGGAACAGACCATCATGAATTAATGGTTATTAATATCCTTAATTTGATTCAGGCTGTGGTGCTATAGCCCTACTATGTACTCAGTTATTAAGTCTGATTGGACTTAATGGGACTTTCTTTGAATAGACATGCACATGACTGCTATAGATATTCTCCAGCATATCTTTTGACTTTTGAGTTTGCATGCAGTGTTAACCTATGGTTTATTGAGTCCATGGTTTATTACCCTACCCAGGGTTTGCCTGCTCAAACACAGCATGACTTGTTTATTTTCTCAGTCTTCCATTTTACCTACTCTCTCCTTGTATCTCAAGTGCCTTTGCAGTGTTGTACTGCTGGCATGTAGAGTGGCTATGTTTTTTTAACCACTTTGGCCCACTAGCTTTGTAGCCTGGTGAAACAATCCATGGTTCTGGGTTCATACAAAATGACAACCCATGGTTTAAACAACCTAGATTAACAACTCAACCACAAGTCGTGGGTTCTGTTTCAGGGTTGTTCATGGTTACCAAACCAGAGCTTATTAATGCAGCCATGTTCACACATCGCAACAACCCAGCATTCAACAACAAGGTGAGCACTATGTGAATAAGGTCATTGTGGCTGCCAAAGCAGGATTTACAGTCAGTTTGATGGACATAAACATCAAGCAGGACTTGTTTCTGTTGGCTGTTCTAAGGTTGACCCCTTTGGTAATACCTGATTAAGTTTCACCATTAGCACAGAAGTTACTTTTCCAGTCCTATAAAGCTATCGAAGAAAGCAGTTCTTGCTCATGTAACATTTCAGCATATGTTCTCAGCAACTTGTGATTCATGTTGAGGGAATATCACTCTTGTATGATTGAAGTGTAAGTTTTTGAAACTTTGCATTTGTGGTGTTGGCACTACTTAGTAGTTCACTTATAAGGAGCAAACATTAAATTATAATATCAGCTTGCTTCCTACCTTCTATCTTAACAGAATATTTTAGTTTAATTGAAAATTGCAATTCTACTTGCAAACATGCAGAAATCATTAACAGAGAGTCAGTACGCCAACAAAAGAAAGACTGAGACAAATGTGTATGGATCTTTATGGATTACATGATTTTAAAGGCAACCATGTAGTGATTTTAGTTATTTGCATTTTGAATACATTTTTATTCTGTTTCATTATGATGGATGTGAAGACAATAAACGACTGATTAAGTGTCAGATTATTTAGAGGCAGACCCAGTGCAATCCATGACACTTAAATTAGTAATGACTAATTTAATTCCCATGGATTTCAAAGGGTTATACTCTAAACATGACTTGTCCAGATCCCGCCCAGTATATTTCAAAGTAATAAAATACTGGTGATAGTGGTGGCTTTTAATAATCCAGCTCCAGTTCTTATGCAACAGTTTCCTTCATTAAACAAGATCATCAGAGATTCCATAGAAAAAATATTGGAAGATATTATTTTGCATTCCTACACGATGCTTTCAGTGGAATTATTCTGCAGCTAATGGTCCATGAAAGAAAAACAGCATGTTAAATCCATCTCATTGTTGCATTTATTCAGCAAATATCTATCAAATCTTTGGACAGCTAAGCTAGTTCAAGCTGAAGAAAAATAACAACAATCCCGTTCAGTTGACAAAGGGTGCCCAAGATCACGTCACTATTTTTATCTACTCAATTCCTTTCACCTACAAAATAATTTTAACAGTGCCTCCCAAAGCTGATGTAATAACCATGTTTAATACCAATTAACATAATGCTTACAATTTTGGATAAATGGTCGAGGTAGCCTTTTCCGGAAGGGCAGGTCTGGTGCCAGCTGATGATGGCAGCTCCAGGGCCTCTGCTTTCTCATCTTTATCTTATAGCTAAATACATGGCCATCCTAGCATAGTCCAAGCTGATGATGGGAGACGATGGGAGTTGTAGTCCAACAGATCCAGAGGACACCAGGCTGAGGTACACTGGTATACATTTTTGTGGGCTAGAATCCACGTCATCAAATGCAGGTGCCAGTGAATAGGGATATGTGTTAATCAAAATTCTTGGTAAGTTCGAATGCAGCTATTTCGCATGGGAGTCTTCCTTTCAAGTGCTTTCCTTCCACATCTTCCATTCCAAGAATGGTAACACTCAGATCTGTGACCTAAAAATTAGATTGACATGGTACTAAGAATACTTTCAAGCAAAGGAGTTAATGAGGGAAACTGTGATTAATGTTTCAAAAGTGTGTTATAAGAAAAGACTTTGGTTTCTCTGGGTGAGTGAGATCATCATGTAAAGCCAAGTTCACTTCATTGCAGTGTCCCATATCTTGAGCTAGACCTTGAAGTTAGCTATTCACCAAAACAGGAACTCCACCCTAGCTTTATGAATTGAAGAGTTGAGTTGCTGGCTTCTGACCATCTGCCCATTCTTCCTGTTATGACAGAGCGTATGAATTTCTGTATGATGTGTGAAAGGCCATGTTTTGTCCTTCATAATTTAACCCTTTAGATGCACGAAGCTGGAGCACAGCCCAAATGCTTTCGTTTGCTTAAATATACTAGTGGCATGTCCATGACTTGATAGAATTGCATTTGTATTGATCATGTGCCCTTTGGCATATTTAATTTTTGATCTTTGATATGTTGCAGACTCACCGGTTTCACTGGATCCACCATCCCTTAGTATCCAAAAATCAATTATTACTGTAACTGCGAACGATACACTACAAATAAGTTGCAGGTAAAGATGGAGCATCAATAAGATTGTCATTTTGTATATAGTGTCCCCCCCACCCCCAACTTATTTTCTTTCCTTTACACTTTGTCTTCCTTGGCTTGGGTGCATAATAGACTGTTACATAAAACGAAGAATGTAAACAAAGAACTCTTGAAAATCCAAGGGTAATAAAGTGTTCCAACTGTGGCCTGGCTCAGGTATTCAAAGTGCTGCATCCCGAAGGAGAATGGGAAGAAAGATGTTGTATGGGCCCTGCAGGGATAAGTCAAATTTTTATTTTACTTATCCGTGTATTTATTTATTTAGAGTATTTGCATGCCACCTGCCATAAATGTTTACCTATACTCCAAAGACAGTATATGCACTGTGGTATAAACCCTGTGGCTTCCCTTGTATCTACCTTCCATGTTTTAAAAACTGAGGAGTGTGAAGAGAGAAGACAAAATTCCTCTCTGCCGCACTGCAGAACTGTTTACTGGGCCCATAGATGAACTTCTGTAGTCTAGACGGTAATGTGCCACAAGCAGAGAGTGGCGATGCTATCTGCGGAATGGGTAATTCAAGAGAGCCAGGCCACAAATTGCTTCTTACGGCCAGTGGTACACTCAACTGTGATCTGTTGGCTGCATTCTGTTGTGAACAGCCCAGAGCGCTTCAGCTATGGAGTGGTTATAGAAATGAAATAAATTAAATAATAATAATAATAATAATAATAATAATAATAATAATAATAATAGCTGAGAGGGGAAGGTTGAAGCCTCCAATGAATGGAAGCAAAGGGAGATGGACAATCCATTACCCTGTCCCTGCTTGTTTTGCCACTCTTTTCTGTTTCCTCCACCCTCTCCCGCTCAGAATGACTCACCCTTAAAACCACTTGCCAACTGGGAGACTAGGCAAGCTGCTGATGTTGGACAAATTTATGACTTCCACATTCACCCTGCATGGTGTGCTAGTTCAACATGAGCAGCCTCACTCCCCATGTGCATCTCCCCTGTGTTCTCTTTTCATTTGGAAACACTGCTTGTAGTCCCCACCGCTTATACCGGGAGGTTTGCTGTGTACAAGGGAAAGGGGCAGGCTCAGCATAGCCAGCATGGAGTAGGGGTTCTAATTGTGCTTTCCACTTGTTAATGAAATCTGTTGCAGCACACAATACACCTGAATACTTCTTGTAATTTCGAGTTGGGTACAGGCTTAGTCATACTTAAAATGTGTCTACTGAAATCAATGAGACTTAATTTAGTCATGACTAACTGAAATCCTATAGATTTCTGTGGGCCTACTCTAAACATGATTAACTGTAGGTCCGATCCAATACTTCCAATTTACAGTGGATGGCTGTTGTTTCAACTTAGGAATCGGATTCTCAAACTGTGGTTAAATAAGCTCAAGTAGCTTGATGTAATGTCCATATAGATAAATCGCCATGCTAACAGGCTAGTAAATTAGAATCAGACTGTATGAAGTGCAGTTGTTAACCATGATGTTTTCAAACTATGGTTTGGTGAGATGCTGAATTGACAAGCCATAGGTTCAGCCATTGTTCCTCCTCCAGAGACTGCAGCACCATAAAAACAGGAGAACTTAACAAATGTAAAATGAAAGCAGACACAGTTCTAAACCATGGCCTTCCACACTATGTTTGGAAGCCTTGTTGTAAGCTCTGAACTGTGTACTGGCATGGTTTTGCCTGGTATCTGAACAGAGTGTAACTACTGTTGAAAACAAGCCATTATAAAATTAAGGTTCAGGAATAAAGATCAATACATTTAGGGGTAACTCATAGGTGTATTTGCATCTCTAGATCAATAGCAGACTCTACTAAATATCATTGTGTTTCACATAACTTTAGCTGGTGTTGCTTTCAATGGTTCATGCAGACACACAAGTAACTGCTGAGTACAGTAGCATATCAAATGATGAGCCTTGCAAACCCTCCGTTAGCAGGGCAGGAATAGTGTCTCTTCTCTATCCTGATCTCTCTCAATTTCCCCCCAGTGGTGAAAGAGCTTTGGAATGGCTTTGGCCAAACAACCAGACAAGTTCTGAAAACCGTATAGCTGTGACTGACTGTACAGACAACGCCTACTGTAAGATGCTGACGCTTACAAAGGTCATAGGCAACGACACAGGGGCCTACAAGTGCTTTTACCAAGACAACAGTACAATGTCAAGTATTTATGTTTATGTGCAAGGTAGGTGTTGACTGGGGTAATATGCCTTCCCTATTTAACGGAGCAGGGAATCTAAGATGAAAGCTGCAATCCTATGTGCCCTTTTTGTTCTGTTGAAGAAAACAGGATTTGCTTCCGAGTAAACATCAGTGGCAGTTCTTCACGTATACCAGAATGATATAAATACTGGTGTAATAGAAAAGACAAAATTGTTATGAAAGAAAAGAAACAATGGTGCGGGTGTGAGAGACACTGTGAGGAAAAACAGCTCTGTGGCATGCTTTAAACAGAAATTGGGAACCTTTGGTTCTCTAGGTCATTTTTCCCCAGCCTTGTGTCTTCCAGACACATTTGGAGTGCAACACTAAGAATTCCTAGTCAATGGCCCTGCTAGATGGAAATTCAGGGAATTCCAGTCCAAATGCTGGAAAGACCACCAGGTTGGGGAAGGCTGCTCTAGATATTTTTATGCCTCAACTGCCACCATTCCTGACCACTGGCCACTCTGGCTGGGGCTGGTGGGAATCACAGTCCAGCGCCTTCTTGAGGTCTTCAATTTCCCCATGGCCCTCCATGCATTCCACTAACATTTTGTTTTGATGCACATTAGCCAACCAGCATTGGCACATACATTCCAATTGTTTCCTTCTCCTCCCTTCACCTCTCCTCTCCTCTTGCAACATCCCAGCCCACTCACCTCTTTGTTCACCAGCATGGTGGGCGCCATTCGTTTTCAACCTACCCTGAGTTCCAGTGATCAGAATCACCTGTGGAATCACTCATTTCCTTTCCATCTTAGCAATTCTTGTTTAGAAATAAGAGGCTCTTGCAAACTATTCATATTTATCTCTATTCCTCTAGACTTTACAGACCTTCCAGACTACAGGTCTCCGTTTGTGACATCTGTTAGTGATCAGATTGGTGTTATATATATTACGAGGAACAAAACAGTGGTGATACCATGCCTTGGGTCTACATCAAACCTAAATGTGTCACTCTACGCGGTAAGTCCTGTGACATGCAGCAGTGCTGCTTTTTGTAACTTATTTCAGCTCTTCCCAGCGGTTAGTTGACATGACTGATTTTTACATTTTGGCGAAGGAGGTACTGACAGTAAGGAACTGTGGGAGGGCACCTGTGGGAGAGGGAAATGAAGATGAGGTGGGGTGACCAGATTGTGACCGAAATAAAGCGATCCTTGATTCAGTAAGGAGGAGACTATCAGGTTTCCAAGGAGAGCCCTGATCAAAGAGAGACTGAACGCTAGATCTGGGTTTAAACACTATGCATGTAACATTTATTCTATGATATAAAGAATACAGAAGTATACGAATACAAGTTTAGAGTCATCAGCAACAATATCAAGAGGCCTCATTCACAGTCGTATTCATGCAACACTCATACTCACAGCCAATAGACCCTCTCCAGCGGTGATCAGTTGTGGCGAGGACTGGGGTGACCAGTTTCAGCGCTGTTCTGGCACACACGGGAGCTGGAAAGCCCAGGCATTTTATACCTTAAAGTTGATGCTATTAGCTTAGTCCAACTGGGTCGAACAGTGAACTCCTCTGAGCAGAGCTGACGCAGAATGTGCTGGTTTGCATCACATTCCATTCTCTCTCTGGATGGTACAGGGCAGGCTTTTCTTTTCTTGTTATGCTCGTTTCTCCAACCACTCCTGGCCTTTCATTTTTGCTGTGCAAAATACTCAGTCCCATCATGCTTTTGAATTCTCCATTTTCTTCTGGGTCTTAGGCCATCAGGGACCCATGCACACTGTAATCTCTTAGATTCTTTTAGAAGACATTGGATTTTAACTGATGGTTGCTCTGATTTTCATACAGAAGTATCCAGACAAAATATTTGTTCCTGATGGTAAATCCATTACATGGGATAGTCAAAAAGGTTTCACTATACCCACCATCTTGATCAGTGACGTGGGCATGGTCTTCTGCAAAGCTAAGATAGATGGTGAAAACTATCAATCTGTGATGTACATTGTGGTGGTTGTAGGTAAGTCGTCTATGACTAGCTGGGGAAATTGTGATTGTGTTAGGATTTTGTTAGTGTGGTAGGTGAAGGCACAGTGCAATGGCATGAAGCTACTTTGGTTGCAATGGCTTTTGGGAGTGTTTCACTTGTCTCCATTGGTATTGTAAATTATTTGAGAAACAATATGGCTGTCAAAAAGGGAAAGATGTAAAAAGAAACCCAACTGATAGTCAGAAGCAAACATGAAAACAAAAAGCTTCTACCTTTATAAAGGAAAATTCATGGTTTGCTTTTTCACCTGTCTTCCAGTCTATGTCATTTTACATTTAGCTACGTGCTGTATTATTTTGCCTTGTTCATAGTTCCATCAGTGTCATTTCCAAATGGTATTGTGTATTACCTTTACACTAACCCCATTCATGCCATATATTTTACCACAATATTTTACCCCTAACCTGATGCACTCCAGATGAGTCAGACTATAACTCCCATCATTCCCAGCCAGCATGATACATCTGGAGGGTGCTAGGTTGGGGAAGGCTAAACTATCATGACAAAAATCCAAGTAGAGGGCACTTTTTTTCATTCACTGTCTGAACTCATCTCTGTGGGCACCTTGATGGATTCAGCTTGCAAAGTCCATGGTTTAATTGATGCGATCATACCTACTCAGAAGTACATCCCCTTGCATCCACTGGGGCCTGTTCCCAGCTAAATGTGCACAGAATTGCAACCTTAAAGTCCACTTTGGCCAATGCAGCTTCATGCTGTTGCATTGCCTTCCATCTATTCTGCCAAGCAGTATCTTAACTGATGCAATGGCAGCATGAACTGTATCTTTTGGACAGATGTCGAAAGGATGTTGAACCCATTCCCTGCCTCTTTATCCTTCAGTTGTTTCCCTTATGGCTAGGCTTCAAAACAGGAAGTAAAACTGGCCAGAAGAAATGTAGGTGGATGCGAAAAGCTGAAGGGGCCAAAGCAGGCACCAAGAACTCCTGGAATATCATTTGCCACAAACAGCTGCAGATCGGTCAGCCATTGTGGCTGACTCAGGTTCTAACACACATGTTCGATGCTGTTACACTTAGTTAAAGCATAAGAGCAAAGCAATTCCAGCTGCAGGCACACTGAGAGCTGACTTTGAGTCTCAGTGGGGATTTCTGCTATCTTTCAATTTCTGGATCCCAAAGAAAAGGTTTTGTGATAGAATTAGGATATGCTAATTTCAACTTCAGGTGAATTATATGCATTGGAAGTCATTCCTCTTTCTCTATATGATTTGGGACTCTTGCGTCTCCCATTAATGTTCTGCAAAAGAATGGAATTTGTTACTGAGTATGAAATTCAGCATTTTAAAGAAGCTTGGTTTTAATTTTTCAAATAAATAAATCATGTTTCTAGCCCTTAGTAATTCAAAGACAGGCATGTAGGTATATTGGGAATGCCTGCTGACATCTTAAAAACCAGAGAATTAGCTGGGGGAAAAATAGGACAGCTGCTTACCCCTTCACATGATCCGTGCCAGTTTGGGATGTTGGGAGTTATTGTCCATCATGTTATAGAGGCCTTCAGGCAGGAGAATCTGCTTCATTCTAAGTGATTTTCATTCAAAGTACAACTGTGCTGTTCTTCTCCATAGGATATAAAATTCATGACCTTACTATGCATCCTCCTCATCAAGTGGAACTGGCAGTGGGAGAGAAGTTATCTATAAACTGTACTGCAAGGACTGAGCTGAATGTGGGGATAGTCTTTGAATGGGACTACCCAGCAAACAGAGCCCCTGCAAACAAGGTAGCTTCCTTTTGAAGATGAATCTGTTGAATCAAAGCCCCAAAGGGCCCTTTCTGTGTGAACCATTTTCTTTCAACTTCTAGGAATGCATTAAGAAGAACTAGAAAATTGGAGCTGGCATCCTAAAATTTAATCCTAATGAGTGATGTGTGACTTTTGCTCATCTCAGGGCCAATTAAGAGAGTCAGAAGCCACACACCAACCTAGTGTTGACTGATGCATATCTGCCTCCTCTAGAAGGGTACCAATAAAGATAGGACTTCCTCTTGTCCTGCAAATGGTGGCCAACTGCATATTTCATAAAAGTAAAGGAGGACAGGGCTCTTGTATTTTTAAAAGCTGTGCTGATGAGGATTCTCGAAAGGCGTATGTCATGTGAGCATTTCAAAACCCTGCAGCATTGCTGATGTCTCTGCCTCCCATGTTCCTGTTAAACAGGCTTGCAAATAAGCCTGCAAAAGTTACTAGTCCACAAGAACTCTTACTAGCCCTCTTGACCTGCATTCAAATCTAGACCATTGCATTGCATCACCAGGCTCTGACTTCTTTGACAAGAGCTTCTTTTGCCTGGTGCTCTGGGGCCAATGTTTGTTCGCTACAGGTGCGAAGGCATGAAGCTATTTGCATTTCTAAATCTAAAGGTACAGGTGCCCCATCCTCCACATCACCTGATCCACCAAGTCAACCTGCTCAATTTCTTGTATGTGGGTGAGGGGAAGCTGAAGGGATGGTGGTGAAATGAATCGCTCTCAACTCTGTTACAGAAAAGGCATGTTACCATAAGGGATGGAAAGACCCTGTTGGGTGATGAAGTGAAGAAGTTTGTAAGCACTCTCATCATAGAGCACGTGACCTTAAGCGATGCAGGCCATTACAGCTGCACAGCCTCCAGCAGCCGTATGATGAAGAAAAACAGCATTAACGTCATTGTTCGTGGTAAGGCCTTTCTTAGGAAAGGAGACCTGGGTAGAAACGAAGCACTGGTTGACATAAACCACTACGAAAAAATCAAATCTTCCTTCAAGCTGAAGCTCGAGGGATACCTCGATCTTTAAAAAAGTCAATTAAACACAACAGTGCATTTCCCCTGTGTGAGGATGTGGATTTGTTATTTAAAATATTGAGCAGCAGTTGCATTGCAGTGGCCAGAGTACCCTCTAGAGCATGGCCACAGCTGATGTATGTGCTGAAGCAGATCCACTGGCAACACAGCTATGTGGGTTGGAAAAAACTTGTTTATCCCCCCCCCCCCCGTCCTGTCTGCCATTGAATCTAGACATCCTTTCAGGACGTCCACTCCTGCAGCTGACTGAGATTAAAGGAGAAATAAATGGGAGGGTCATCAGCAGACCAGTAAAAGTCTGCTCCAAATCTTTGCACAACCTGTAGAATATCGAATGTTCCTTTCTAAAGCAGAGCCAGGTGTCTCCCTAGCTAGCATAACCATTTTTGAAAGATGGTGAGAGTTGTAGCCCAAAACATCTGGAGGGCCACACATTGCCTACCTATTTTAAAATTTAGACAGAGGCATATCTACAGAAGATCAGCCCTCATAGCATTCTTCAGGACAAATCCCAGAGTTCCTTCAGCTGCAGCAGGGAGAAGCAGGGAGCTGGGCATGGAAGCCTTGCTTCCAGCTGCAACAGCAGAATATGCTTCTCTTCTTAATAGACGCTGCCTCTTGCCTCTGTTTACAATCTCTGATCAAGAAGAAACCAACATTTCTGGAAAAGGAGACAACAACCCCATTGTCTAAAATCATTGTTTTCTTTCTCGACAGAAAAACCTTTTATCACTTTGGGTAGAATGCCAACTTTGGTGGAGACAAGACTGAGTGAACCAGCTAAAATTCCTGTGATTTTCAAAGGGTATCCAGCTCCAGAAGCAAAATGGTAGGAATCAGGGCAGCTTTGCTTTTTTTTAAATCTCCCTTACCCTCTGCCCTCCTCTCTATATAGACTTATACGAGCAGCTGAAGAATGTGGAAACTGCATCGTTTGGCTCAAAATTGTGAATATGTCTGTAATAGTAGTCATTGTACTGAACATGTTTTTTAGTGATTAACTGCATCCTTTTGGAACCCAAGACAAGCCTTTCTGAAGTGCTGTTCGATGGTTTAAAAATAGTCCCCTCCCCACACACACATTCTTTCTCCATCCAAGGAAAAGTGTAGTGAAGACAAAGCTCTCAGGTACACAAACCTGGCACATTGTTATTAGTAGGGATGCCAAGGTCATCCATCACCCCTTTGGACTCTCCTCTTCCCGTTGGGTTTAGCACAATAGCTGTGTTGTGGAGGAAGGAATGAACTAACTACAATATGGTGTTCCTTGTAATAAAAGTGTTTGGGGGAGTGGAGATGGCTTGGTTTTTAATGCACAATTAGGACCCTTTCGCTTTACAAAAAGCCTGCTCCTGGTGGAGATGGAAACTGCTGAAATTGGTTTGTTGATACAGATCAAAATTGCGCCTTCAGTTTAATTAATTAATTAATTAAAAGCTTTTCTATCCTGTCCCCTACAAACATCTCGGGATAGCTTTCAATTTTGGACCCCCCCCCCCCAAGAGGAGAATCCAGTCTCCCAGTTGTGGAGACCCTCATGATACACACCTGCACCTCACAATTTGCCATCGCACCACTGCATCCGAGACAGGTGCAAAATCCCCATTTACCTGTGATGCTAACTGGGTGAGCATCAGCAAGTTATTTGTTTCTCAGCATAGTCTAACTTTCATGGTTAAAAGGACTTTATCCCTTGTGCACTGCTCTGAGCTCCCCATGAGCATGACTGGATACAAATATGATTCAACAGCCATCCTTTATTCATGCTTTGCACTTCAGGATTACCAAAGGACCATTTTTTTTTTCTTTACAGGTATAAAAATGGAAAGCCCATAGTTGCAAATCGCACTATTAAACTTGGTTACTCCTTGACAATTACTGAAACAAGTGAAAGAGATGCTGGGAATTATACTGTTGAGCTGACCAACCCCATTAACAAGGAGCGGGAGAAGCACACATTTCGTCTAGCTGTGAACGGTAAATTCAACCTGCTTTCCTAAATTGTAGTTTCTATCTGCAGACAATTCTGAATTGAATTTCAGTCAATGGTAAAATGTTTGGGAGAGATGATATTTAATTATCCATCTGCATTAGGCATATCTTTCCCAAACTATGATACTCATGCAACAGGAGTGATGGTACAGATATGGCTGCCAAAAGTATGACCTAGATTTCTCTGAGACTCACAAGCCAGTTGCTAAGGGGTGCATGTTGTGGGACATAGTTTGGATACAGAAGAAGCTGGGACTTCTCCAAGTAGGCCTGCAAACCATCACACCAGTTTCAGCTGGGTATTACTGAGCTAGATGGATTGGTGGTCTGTATAAAGCAGCTTCCCCCTTCCAGTGATTCAGACTTCTCCCAAGATCTCCCAAGCTCTTTGTGTGTGTGTGTTAATTGACAACAGGAGGATCACTGTTGTACATCTTTGATCAAGTTAGGGCAACACAGGTAATTGGTGCCTGGATTCCATTTCCTAGGAAGATGGGTGGCAAAGTGTGTAATAATTACATACTTTCTCATACAATTTATGACTCAGTAAGCTGAACTCAGCCCTCTAACCAATGACTCAAGAAACATTCTGTTCTAATTTACATATTTATTTGTTAAATTTATATATTGCTCAACTGGCAGATCTCTTTGAGGAGGTTTACAATAATAACACCTCCAAAAAACAAAATAAGTACTGAAGCAACAAATACAACCATAAAAATATCAAAATATTAAATGTTTAAAGTATTAAAGGGTGAACAGTAAAGTTAATAAATAGAGCAACAGAGAAGGACTTAAATGGCTATTGGAAGAGAAAGGTCTACATGTATACAGTGAAGATGCCTGGCAGATGACTTCCGGGGTGAGGTTCTACACACGGAGGACGACTTTACAGAGAGGACTTTTTCCCTGGCAGCCTGCTGCCTCACCATTGTGAACAGTGACATCCAGAGAACAGGGTATATTCAATGTTCTACTGCACCCCTCTTTTTGTAATCTCAGGCAGGCAGCAAAAGAAATGGGTCTTTCAAGCTCCAGGTGGGACGCCATCTTTTGCACTTATTTTGCTTGGCTTCAAGCATCCTCCTCAGTTTATTTTCTTTGAGGAACTTGTGATTACCCAGTTGTTTTATGAAAAGATATTTTGAATCGACAGTATATATGTTTTGCCTTTGTGTCCTGTGTTCTTCCTGTCTTCAGTGCCTTCTCCTACTCCTTTATATCGTGAGTTCCTCCCTGTGTGCCTCACCCATCCTTCCTGCTCTCCTGCTGCTGTGCAGTTTAACTTCACCTGTCAAGTTCCCCCTCTGTTTGGAAAGCTCAGGAAACATGCTTGTCTGCAGAGACCAAAGGGACCAGTCTTAGAACCACAGTGATGCTCTGGGAATGGGGAGTGGTGTTGGCAGCTCCATGTTAAATGCAAGGCGTTGCTAGACCAGTGTTTGCATAATGGCTTGGGGTGCCAAAACAGAGCATGAGGTACTCAGAAGGACAGATAAGGCTGCTCTTCATTTCCAGAATGTGTCTGCGTCGTAAAGAGGCCACCTGTCTTTCCATCCATCAAATACAGTAACCACATGTCCCTGATCACACTGCTTTGCTTTTTTTGCCATAGGAAATAGTCTTCCCTCATTTTTAGGAAGCAAAGTACTCGTAAGATGTTCTACCTGGATATGCTGTGATGCTAAGGATGGGATCTGACCTCCGCTGCATCATACCAGACATGAGACCTGTTCTGCATTAGACTTTAAGAGTTTAAGGAGCAGGAACCATACTGAGCAGTTCTGCCCTGGATGCCACATAACCCCACCCACTGATGCCTGCATACAGCACGTGAATGTGCGCATAGATAATGTTTCTACATATACAGCATGGGGATTGAGGGCAGAGATTCATGACATGTGCAGCACTGGGGGTACAGCTTCTTGGCCCGGCTCAGCTCCCATCCTATGCATGTTTGGAAAGAAAAAAGTCCTACAACATCCAGTGTTCTCCAGTCAGCCATGGAATGCTGGGAATGCTAGGAGTTTTGGACATGCATAGGCTTGTGCCTTTAGTTGCTTCAGTTGTAAGTGTAATGCCAGAAGGGGACTTGTATCAGGCAGAATCCAACTTTGCTCCATAGAAAGGAATGACAGCTGTTTTCTTTGACTGGAGAAAGTAAAGACGTGCATGCTGGGACACTGAGGTTCTGCTGATTAAACCAGAGGTCCATCTAGTTCGGCCTCATTCTCACCAAGGTCAGCCAGGTGCCTCTTGTAAGCCCACTGGCAGGACATGATGGTAAGAGCCTTTTCCCATCATTGTCGCTGGGTGTTTCATATTATGAAGCATACTGCCTCTGAAAACCTAGATGTTGCATATTGGCTTTCAGGACCAGTAGCTGCAAATTTTCCATGAATTTGTCTAATCCCTGTTTAGAGATGCCTGAGCTAGTGGTGGCAGTGAATTTTGCAAGCTGATGATGTGCCACATGAAAAAGCTCTTTCTCTTGTCTGCCCTGCGTCTCCTGTCTTTGGATGAGCCCAAGTTCTGGTGTTATGAACATCACCACTGCAGTGGATGTAAATCGCTTCTCTGTCCTGACAGCCACGCTGATTGATGTGTTATTGTGTTCTTATCTGCTTAGCTCCATGGGAGGCTATGCATAGGTCACCAAGGTAGGGAGAGTGAGGGAGTAACTTGGGCCATGGCATAGACAAGTACGCAGGGTTCCATCGCAAGTGTCAGGAGTGAGCTTTCCAAATGCCCTGTATTTTGAAGGAGATCCATTCCTTCTTCCATAATTCCTCATTGACTAATTCTCACTCCTCTGCATCTTTCATGGAGCTTTACCTTATTTTGTAGCAAAATATGTGAGCCACCCCATAGAAAAGAATTGTGCTTTTGGTGAGGTCTCTGGTCCTGATGGCAACTTCAGTCATGCAGCTTCACAGTGCAGTCAGTGATTGGATGAATGAGCTGCATTGGATTTAGAATCTGACAGTAAGTTGTCTATTAGAAAATGTACATTAAGGATCTTTTGGATCCCTCCGGCTGTTTTTTTTAAGATGACACAACAAGGCCCAAGAAAGGCTCTGAATATGATCCATTTTATATTCCAGTTAAACAGTGTAATTTCCTCTCTTTCCAAATTTCAGAGGTGAGTGCCAATCTGTTTTGTAGACCTGCCAGCAGGCTTGGGAAATCCCATCATTTGCAGATAAAAATATCTTTAGGAAAGCCTCAAAGGCAGGGAAAATCCACCCTCCCCCAACAGCCCAGTGTGGATGAGCCTGCTGAATGTCCACACAATGTCAAGCCTTTACTCCCCAAAATCAGAAGAGAGGCAGAACTGGAATGGAGCATCATAGAGGGGGTGTGGCCGGCCACAAGGCTGAATGTGAGGATTCTGCCTTGAGGATTCCACAGCACAGCATTGTGGTATACCTCCCTTGCTTGTCCTTACGAAGCACTTTTTGCATATGGGAACGCAGTCACGTTACTCCTTTCTCCTTTATTTCCTCCTGCAGTTCCACCTCAAATCGAAGAGAATGCTCTTTTAGCTCCTGCGGATTCTTATAAATATGGCTCCACACAAATCCTAACATGTACAGTGTATGCAGTTCCAGCAGTGGCCAAGATTCAGTGGTACTGGCAGTTTGAGGAAGAGTGTACCTTCAGCCCACAGTAAGTCCATCTTGATTTTACTTAATATCTGGTGCTAATGCATTGCTCTGCCTATTGTTCTGACTCTCTCTTTAAAGGATGCAGCGGCTTCAGTATGCACCATTTTCCTGGTGATTTAAGCATTGATTTATTGGTTATGCTGGTACCCAAATTTGCTCCCCAGGTGCCCAAAGTGGCATATACAATCCTCCTCTTCCTCTTCTGATCCTCATAACAACCCTGTGGGGTAGGTTAGGCTGAGCAAGTGACTCAGTGGGTGTGACTCTGGGCTAGTCACCTGCTTCCCCAGTCTAGTACTTACTACTACACCACACTGGTTCCCACTGGTTAGGATCCAGCATCCCCCTACATAGCATAACAATCAAGATGAGCAGAAAGTGTCCTTTTTGTAATGCTTTTTGTACCCTGCCTTTTGGGGTAGGGAGAGCATGCAAACTTTTGTGAAAATGGCCCTCCATCCTCACTTGTTTCTGTTTGGATGCGTCTTCCCTCACTGTGCAGGGCCGTAGCTCAGCGGCAGAGCATCAGCTTTGCATGTGGAAGGCCCCAGGATCAATCCTCAGCATCTCCAGGTAGCGCAGGAGAAGCTCCTGCCTGCAGCACTGGCAAGGTGATGCCAGTCCGTGCTGACCATACTGGGCTATATGGACCTATAGTTTCATTCACTCTGAGACAGCCTCCTGTGTTCCTGTTTCTAGAATAGGGCCAGTGTGGTGTAGTGCTTAAGACCTTGGGACTGGAACTCAGGGGATTTGGGTTCGAGTCCCCGCTCAGCCATGGAGCTCACCGGGTGACTCCGGGCCAGTCACAGCTCTCAGGTCAATCTACCTCACAAGGTTAAGACTGAGAGGAGGAGCAGAATTATATAAGCTTCCCTTCGTTCCTGGAAAGGCAAAATGGCAGGATATAAATATAAAAGATAAATAAGTAGATTATAGCCAGCCCTGACTCAGATTAAAAGAAAAGAAAAAGTGAATTGCATTTTGCTGCACCTTGTCTTCTGGAATAGCCCTTTGGGGTGATGAAGATGGCCAATAAAGCTAACTCTGTGCAAGAGGAAGTGCAGAAACTGAATAAAGAGGCTTCTTTCCATTCCATCCTGGGGCAGACACAGCTTTCAGCAACTCCACTATGGCTTTGTGAACTTGATAGTTCTTGGGAATTGGCTGCAGCAACACATGTTGCTACATACAGGGACTGGCAGATGATTCCCTCCTCATCCCAGAATTTTTTTCCTACTCTTTGGAGCAAAATCCCCACTAACCTGGTTTGCACAACATGGTATGGCTTGTCAGACACCCAAGTTACAAGGGGTTAAACAACACTAGCCTACTCTATGGTATTTTCTGGCATGATGAGGTTCGTTAACCCTCACACCACTCACTTTGAGCTTAAATGTAAGCCTTTTTTTAAACCTACTTTATTATTTCTAATGTTCAGGAGGTAAGGGTTTTTTGGTTTTTAATTGATGGCTTAGTGCACTGCTGGATTGGTTGATTTAAGCCTACATCTATCCTGCCTTCCTTACCGAGATGCTCAAGGTGTTTGACCGCATACAATCCAAATTAACAATTTAAAATAACTTATATAGTTAGTGGAGGACTAAGGAAAAACACACTCAGACCCTGCCTATTGGCCAGGGAATGGAAGGGTGTGTACAAGGTAAAATGCCTTGAAGACAATACAGTCAAAAGATGGAATATTAATATCCCATATAAACAAACCTATCTTTTGGTCTATATTCACAGGCTTCTTGGGCTATTTAAGCTGCTTGGATCTCACTGAAATTATTGGGTTGGATCAGGCTTGATCATATTTAGTACAGATCGTTTTGACTCAATGGGACTTAAATTAGCCAGTAGTTTTAGTGGGACCATTCTAAGTAGGTCCTATTGATTTCAGTGGACTCACTTGGATCCAGCCCGGTGCAGGCTAGTTTGGCTTTGGGCAACTGCTAGTTCTTGGCTCTGAAAATGTTTGGTGCTGTTGTTTACACTTGTGACAGATTCTTGTGTGTTTTTGCTCTGAATTCCTCATGGGTGTTCTACTGCTGAAGGTGACACTGTGTCTTATCTCTGTGAAAGTGTATCTCACAGGAAGTGACTTGATTGATGTTAGGTGGTGATAGAGTCCGCTTCTGAACAAGGGCCACTCCATTTCCCTTATCTTAGTTTTGCACAAGGCCAGACTTCCTTTTAGGAATGATGGGGGGCAGGGGGCGGGAAGGAGCCAGCTTTCCTGTTGTTGTTTTTAAAATTACTTCCACTATCTTCTTCCTTTGGTACGCAATCATTTCCTACACAGGGCCCAGTATCCTAGAGAAATACTTTAGGGAATCCAGTGATTTCGGTGATGCACTTGGTCTTCCTTTCAAACCAAATTTATTAAAATGGTCGATTTTATGAATGCAGTTTTGTTCCCAAAATAGCTGTTTCCCCCCCATGAATATCCTGATTGGGTTGACCTAGCCGGAATAATGAAGGCATTTACCTCCAGGCCATGGGAACTTCTATTTTTGTGTAGTAGCAATGTCTTGTAAGCTAAGGTACAGTTTGCAGTTGTATTCATTACGCTACAAGGGGTGCCTGCAACTAAATGCTGCAGCGCATCGTCACCCACGAAACCGGGGTTCTGATCAGGGTTCCAGCCAGCCAGTTATGCCGCCCTCTGGGTTAAGCTTCAGAAGACTCAAACAGGCCAGTTTGAACACCTCTTTGCATTTTTCTGGTTTCTTTCCCAACTGGCACTCACTCTATGGTTTTCAGAGATCCCCAAACAGGCCCAGCCCTCAAGGGCCTGCTTTCTTTTCTATTCTTTTTTAAATGTTTGGTGCTTCTTGGTGCCCTGCTTAGCCTAAACCCTTTCCTGTTTTACCCTCTTGTTTCTTACAGCCAAGTCCTGTTTGGTACTCAACCACCCCAGTTTACTATTAGAAGCAACAATACTCATTTACTCAGCCCAGTTTTACATAGGGATTCCAGTGGCACTTAATCCAGTGCTTGGATTAGCCTCAACAATTCTACAGTATCAGATTTTCCATTTCCTCTATCCATAAAAATTTTCAGGCATGCTCTTACCCTGTGCTCTTTTTCTACATCGTGGACTTATAATTCAAACATTTGCCAATGCAAACAAACAAACGAACAAAAACTTTGAAGATGATTTTGGTCATTTTTCTTTCTCAGGCACGCTGGACTAGGGAACAATCCCTATGCTTGTAAAAAATGGAAAAACATAATGGACAGAAGAGGTGGAAATCAGATTGACCTCGTAAAATCTCAGTTTGTTACTATTGCTGGGAAAATGAAGGTGAACTTCACATCTTTTACTCCTACTTGAAATGCTGTTTGAAAGTATTGCAGTCGAATCGAATTGATTGGCTTGTTCTTGGAACACTAGAATCACGGACCTATTATCATCCTAAACATACTAATGCATTACCATGCCAGTAGATACATAGGCATAAGGCCCATGCAAATCCGTGAGATTCTCATGCAGGCATGCAGGGTTGTTTCTATGAAATGGAGATCCATATGGTCCAGCTATGGAAATTATTGGACCTGGAGGCCTGTTTTAAAGCCCACCTCTCTTATGGACACCTCAGGAGGCCTCTGATTTGCTCTCTGAGCCTCAAGGACTCGCCCTTGCATGGAACGATGGCGGTATGCTCCATAAAGATGTATTTAAGGCTCATAGAAGGAAGGGCAGTATCCACTGGGTGCTTATGCCCCCACTAATTCTTTGGTACCCTACAAATTCCTTTATGTAACAACTCCCCACTGCTTGTCCAAAAGAAGTTTAACACTTCTCCAGGGAAGCCCCAGCCTGAGTGGAAATGCTCATTTCTGGATTGGGATGATTAAGCTCTGCTGGGTGATTTTGCTCATTTCTGTTTGTCTCCAGAAGAGGTACATCTCTGTTCCACAAGCCATGGATGGCACTTTGAAGAGAACATGGGTGGGGTGGTACGAGTGCTGTGTTTGATACTGTCCTAAATATTATAAGTGTCACTGTTGCCATTCTGAACATTTGTTACAAATACATGCATTGGAATGCATAATTAAATATCTGCAAAAAGAGAGGGAGTCAGAGGGAGAAAGGGAAGGAGAATTCCATTAAAATTATGTACTGTTTTAAAAAAGGAAGGAGTGTTCATAAATGATAAACCATGATGATAGAAAGTTGGAGTTTGCTGCAGCTGCATCTACATAGCTGTTTGAGCATCCTCACTCACTGCCGTATGTACATTCACTCAGAGGCTGTTCTCCAGGTGTTCAATGGGATTTACTCCTAAGTAAGGGTGATTTGGGTTGCAGATTAATGATCGAAGCCTGAACAACTTAAACCATGTTGAACTCAGTGATCCTGATGTTTGTATAAGCAGGCTTTGGGTTGATTAGCATGTGACAGAAGGAAAGCTGGAGAAAGTGTTCTATTTTCAGTTTTCCTTAATATTAAGTTCCCTATTGGCAACAGTAAGGTCTCCATTGACAATTGTACCAAGATGGTTTAAGACGGGTAAACAGTTTCACTTTTGTTTGCCAGCATGGGTAGCCAGCAGGTCACGCAAACTTCAGATTCAAGCAGAATACCCAAAACAATGGTGTGTTGTGTTGCTGTGGAATCTGATGATAGTAACACGGCAGCATATTCAGCTGACTTATGGTGGAAGATGCAGTTAAGCCCTTCAGCATCAGTGTGGCATGAAATTGCTTGACCTATTCTCTTGTAGACCGTAAGCAGCCTCGTAATTCAAGCAGCAAATGTGTCCGCTTTGTACAGATGTGTCGCTAGTAATAAAGCTGGAGAAAGCGAGAGGGTCATCTCCTTTCACATTACAAGTAAGTAATGCACGAGTCTTTGACATTAAACTATCTGTCTATTTGATTAAATGGGTCTGGCTCCTGAATCTTTTATATTGTCAAGATGTAAAAAAGACTTCCTGAATATATCCAAGATGATATATACATACAGGTACTGCCAGTCCAAAGTCCAGAGCAGACTTTTTAAAAGCTCATAGTGTACACACACACACACACACACACACACACACACACACACACACTGACCTAGTGTATAATGGGTTTAAATGAAGACTTGTTATTTACTTTTAAGGGGGGGCTCTTTGTTTTAAGCTGCAAATTGAAACTTCAAAAACTTTTGTGAAAGGTGAAATGGCAGTGAAAGTACTACTTAGATGCAGTTAACAAAAATGATGGGAATTATGAGTGGGAATTTTCTGGATTCTCTATAGTGGTCAAAATTTGGCTAGTCTTAAGTATGCTTAACCTAAACAAGCCAACTTCAACCATAGGTCAGGAAGCTGGCTTGTTCCAACCATTCAGGGCTCAGATGCAATGCTAAACTCTGATTAATTGAAACTGGAAGAGAAGGCTCTTGAACCTGAGGTTGCACTGGCAGGGAAGTGACTTGGGAGCACACAAGTCAGAGGATTGTGCATGCAGTAATCTCTGTCCATCGTTATGTGCAGAACAGGCCTGTGTGTTTGTGGGAGGAGAGATCTGGGGATAGGCAACCTTCTTCTCCCGAGCATGGGACCTTAATGCAGTAATCAAAACATGTGTGGTCACTTGTTTTTACCTGTAGCCAGGCACATAGACATGATGGACCAAAGACCTAGGGCTTTCATTAATTAATAGGACTCATTAATGAATTATTAGAAGGATGTTCAGATTTCCTCCCAGTTTGGTCAGATTGAATGAGCTTTTCCCACATAGTGTTTTCAGATATGTTGGACTACAGCACCCAACATCTCCCTAGGGCTTGTAGTCCAAAATACATGGAGAGCACCAGGATGAGGAAGGCTACATCAAACAGTGCTTTCTTTCTGAATAGCTGTAAATAGGTCTGTGTGAATTATTTTAGAATCCACACATTCAAATTTGATTCTGGACTCCTTGGTACTCTGTGTGCCAGCATGCATACAAATAGATCTTACGGCATGCAGTATGAAGCTGCCTGTCTCTGGCCACAATGGATGATGGGCCGTCCCATCTAATAACTTCATTTTTTGTTTGCAGGAGGCCTTGAAATTAATCTTCAGCCCAAAAGCCAGCCTACTGAGAAGCACAATGTGTCCTTGCAGTGCACAGCAGACAAGCTCACTTTTGAAAACCTGACCTGGTTTAAGTTAAGCCCTCGTGCTTCCCTGACGCGCCTTGGCAGGTTGCCCATGCCTGTTTGCAAGAACCTGGATGCTCTTCAAAAACTGAATGCCACGGTGGCCAGCACCAGTGGGGACAAGGTTGCTATGGCACTCCTTCTCTTTAGCATTTCTCTCCAAGATAGTGGGGATTATGTGTGCATAGCTCAGGACAAAAAGACCAAAACACGACACTGCCTTGTTAAACACCTCACTATTCAAGGTAAGCACATGCCGTCTGAAAACAAGAGGAACTGTCTGCTTTTTTTTTTTTTTTTCCTTTTTAGGAATAGAGGCACTCACCTGTTTCCGAGCATGGCTTCACTTACAGATCCACTGCCATGCTACTTCTTAAAATCTGCACAAAAACAGATACACATTTTCTCTCAAAGATAAATGTGTTTTATATTTTTTAAGATGCCATAACATTCAGGAAGTGTAAAACTGGTGGATAAATTTGGAGCTATTCATTATTTTAGGATCAGATTAGGTCATATATTAGCATTTGCAAAGATCAAATTCTTCAAGTGTCCATAAGTTTAACAGCAGTGTGCAATGCATTGTCTCTGGGCTGCTTATGGCATTCAGAAGAGTGTCGTGGAAAGTTTCTAGTCCAGTCAGTTCATAAATAGCAAGTGGACCATAAAGGCACCACAGTCTTGTGATAGCCAGTAACTTAGCAAACTTTTACAATGGGTTGGATATCTTTGTGGAGATCAATGGCAGCTAAAAGGGGACCTCTGTGTTTGGAAGCTAAATACCAGTAACAGAAAATGATCACTGGAGTGCTAGCCTTGTTTAACCCCTGGCTTTTACTGAGCTGCACAGTTCTTACATTCTTAAAATTCTCACACATTTCCTTTCTAATATTACTATTTGTATTCTCAACCCCAAGCTTCTTCCTGAAATGCTCTGTAATTCAAGAGTGCCAACCATACTGAGTTCCTACAACTTAAATTAAAACTTACATTTTAACAGTATCAAGGCTCCTCTTCCCCAAAGCTAAATAAACCTGAAGATCAGGCAAAAATACTGCTGGTGCATCTGTGTTTCCATGGTCATTCCTGATGTTAGCAAAGGAGCTCCTCAAAGTCCCCCCGCCCACATCTCTCTAAAAAGCAATTTAGCAACATAGCAGTAATCATCTCATACAAAAATGCAAAACAAAGTGTCTTGTACAAGCACAATTATATATTTATGGTCATTCTTGAAATATGTCATGAATGGTTTTCTAGAACTGATTCCTGGATTATGCTGTCTGTCTATAAATGCAATACTATATTTCAAGTGCTCTGGTAGACACACTTCTTTACAGAAAGGTTAACTTTCTATAAGAAAAATGGTCCTTAAGTGAGCACAAATCCTAAATATAACCAATGTCTTTGACATGTTGTATAAATCATGTCAGTGTTTTTAGCATCTATAATGTGAGTTTAGGAAAGAGCACTGTTTTAAATGGGGGCAGGCATCTCATAGCTTAGCTGTCAGGAATTGTGTTTCAGAAGCTTGACCACTTTGTAGGAACTGAGGATTTGTGATTCCAAAAGGGCATTTAAACATTACAAATTGTTCTCTCATGCAAATAGAACCAGTGGCACCTACCATTACAGAGAATCTGGAGAATAAGACAACAAATATTGGTGAAACGATTGAGGTCTCTTGCATAGCAAATGGTATTCCGTCTCCACTCATCACATGGTTTAAAAACAATGAATCCCTTGTTGAAGATTCAGGTGAGAGTGCATGTTCTGTCCTGCAATGCTGTGTGTAGATTCGCTTATGTAAAATACCCCATTGATTTGGGTTACTTAGGGTGCTTCCAGATGATGCTTCCAGCCTGCCTCATTCACAGAATTGTATGTGAGGGACTTCAGAGTTAGAGTGTTGGATGGGACCTGGGAGGCCTAGGGACTGTACCTCACTCAGCCATGAAACGCACTGGGTGACACAGGACCAGGCTCAGACTAACCTACTTCACTGGCTTGTGGTGAGATAAAATGGAGAGAAGGAGGGTCATGAGTCCTGCCCTTGGTTTCTTGGAGGAAGAGTGGGATATAAGCAACAGAAACCCAAATAAACATGGGGATATTGAAACTCTTTCAGCCCAAAAGCCAAATTCCATTTTGGAGAACCCCTTGGGGACCACAGAAGGCCAAAGGGCCAAAGGTCAAGGGAGAAGGCCCCAAATCTTTAATGATATTGGCATGTTTTGGTTTGAAGCTCTTATTGCCAGTAACTAAGCCTTTGGGGAAGCATTTCAATCTTTTAGAATGGAAGAAGCTGCAAAATCCTGGAGGTCCCCACACTATTGGAGGAAAGGAGTGGTAGCCCAGGGAACAGGGGTAGTAGCCCCATTGGCTGCACTAGGATTGCAGGGAGCAGGGTGGGTGGATTTAACCGCCCCAGATAGCAATCCTCATCAAAATCACTGCTGGAACATTGTTTCTCCCAAGTGGTTGGAAATAAGAAAATCCAAAGTAGTCTCGCAATATCTTGTCTTGACCATAAAAGCTGAGTCAAATTAACACCAGTGAAAAGAAGAGGAGAGGAGAGGAGAGGAGAGGAGAGGAAAATAATGTGTCTCTCTCTGTGTGTCCTGCTCAAGGTATTGTTCTGAAAGATGAGAACAGAACACTCACCATACGGAGAGTGAGGAAGGAAGATGAGGGCCTCTACACTTGTCGTGCCTGTAACGTCCTGGGTTGTACGAAAGCAGCAACCTTTTTCGAAGTGGAAGGTATGCATCAGCATGTATCTCTGTTTTGGGCTTGCAAGTGTGGCTTTCTGCTTCACGGATGCTCTATCTCATTTGCATTCCAAGATCCCCTGGAGAAAAAGCATGAGTTTACTGGGAGTTGGTGATGTGTTAAGCTGAGTCAGAGCTGAGGGAAAACTAGGGAGAGAATAAAAGGAAGAGGATCACCCGAGAACCTAGATACGCAGCAGAGCTTTAAGTCCGTCTGTCAAAGTGCAGAAACGCTCTTTTGAACTCAGTAAAGATGGCACTGGAAGGCAGCACTTAACCTTGCAGCATGCCAGCCTTCCAATTTAAAAAAGGTTTCTTAAGAAATAAGATAGAAATCAGGAGGGTCATCCCTGTGGGCACCAAGGGACAACACGTTTCAGGGGCTACACGTTGGAAACTCTAGGCTGGAGGTGGCTTATGCTAGCATAAATTCATTTAGGTTAGCATGACTGTCAAATAGGATGGAAAGTTTGCTAACATCTGGGGCCGAGCAGGGAGATGGAAGCTGTGTGGAAGTTAGGAAGTTAGGCCAAATTCCAGAAAATGGAATGGCTGGGAGCAGGTTCTGTGCACAGAACCCTCATTGCAGCTGGATCAACCTTTGGCTTTATTTAAGTGATCAGATCATTGACTGGGTAGACGACTGTGCATGTCCCCAAAATAACATTGAGAGAGAGAGAGAGAGAGAGAGAGAGAGAGAGAGAGAGAGAGAGAGAGAGAGAGAGATGTTCCATATACATTTTTTAAATAATATCTGTCAGAACAGTCAGAAGCCTTGCCCCAGTGTGATAACCTACGGAGGTTTTTTGTTTGCCAAGCAAGCCAGAGCTGTGTCCTGCTCGGCTGCAGGAGGCTGAAGGGACCTGCCGTGTGACGTACTTTGGTTGGGCTGGATATGCCGCCTGTATATAGATACGTTCGGTTATCTGGGTCTTGCTGGAGTATCGCCTAGCATGCCTTCTTCTTTTTTTTTTTTTTAGAATATGATTGTGATACATTGTTTCAAATGAGGGGATTTATGGCCCATTTTGATGATAGTAAAACAATGAATCATTGTGAAAAGAAACTGCATGACGCAAGAGCTTGAAGCAGAGGGGCACACGGTGAACTTGGTGGCAGGAATGAGTGCTGACTTGCAGAAAGTTTTAGTGGTGAGAAACTCCATCTGCATTTGCCAAGGTAGAATTTTTACCCGATAGGAACCTGCAGAGATCACTAGTCCCTGTAGTTGTCGATACCGGAGTAATCAACTCTGTGCCCTCTAGGGTGTTTTAGATTACAGTTCCCATCATCCCTAGCCATTACCCATGCTGCCTGGAGCTGATGGGAGATGGCCTGGGACCTTCTGAGTGCTAGTTTTGTTCTCTGCTGCTAACTTACAGCCCTCTGTAGCAGGGGCAGGTGATGTGTATGCCAGAACATCTGGAGGCTTCATCTCCCATGACCCCTTACCATTGGAAATGCTGGCTAGGGCTGAGAGGAGATGTAGCCCCCAGTGACCCATGTGCCCACTCCTGCCCTGTAGTAACATCCGATTTAGGTGCTTTGGTGCTGTAAGGAAAGAATAAAACAGAGGTATACCCTGTATCAGGTGCTGAAGCTCTTGAGTCTATCAGCCCATTTAAACACTCTTATAGAATAACAGAAAAGTTGGAAAGGGCCAGAGGGCATCAGGTCCAACCCCCTGCTCAGTGCCAGACTCCAAGTTATACCATCCCTCTCAGATGGCTGTCCAGTTGCATCTGGAATGCCTCTCGTGTGGGAGAGCTCACAACCGCCCTAGGTCATTGGTTCCATTGTCATACTGCTCTAAGAATCAGGAAGTTTCTCCTGATTTCTAGCCAGAATCTGGCTTCCTGCAACCTGATCCCATTATTCCACGTCCTACATTCTGAGATGATTGAGAAGAGATCTCGTTCTTCCTCTTTGTCACAGCCTTTCAAGTACTTGTAGAAAGACTGGTGCAGTGCCCTGGTATACCACGCATAGGAGCTCTGCGTCTGTGCTTTGCTGGTTAGAACCAGCCATTCCCTTCTGTGGCCTCATTCACTCTCTTCCCAACATCTGGCAGTCGTTTCCCTTCGGGATGGCTCATCCTCCACCTAGTCTCATCCCCAGCCCAGTGGCACAACTTTCCTTGGCCACCTGTTTCATTTGAGGCTAGGACCTCTTGCTGGTTACCTAGCATCTAAAAGCTTCTTTGTGTAACCTGGATCGTTCCTTTGTATCCCCTCAGAGAGGTGGACACAAATTGGTGCAAACCTGAATGGAGAGGAAGGGCATAATCTAGCCAAACAAAAGCACCTTAAGTCCTACTGTGAAAGATTTTACCATGCAGTACTACCTAAACTGGAGCTTGTTCCTTGGATGAACCTCACCTAGAAATAGCATAGATCAAAAGATGCACAGCTCATCTGTTGCATGCAGTAGATCCGGGGCTCTATTCCTGGCATCCACAAGGAGCTGAGAAAGACCACTGCCCAGAAAACCTGAACTGCTCCTGCCCTCACTCAGTTGTCTAACCCTCACTTTAAGGGAGCTTCCTGTCTTCCAGAAAGATCAGTTCCAGACCGGCATGTATACCTTGATGCATTTCATAAAGAAAGCCAGTGTGGCATCGAGGCTACAGTGCTGCACTGGGACTTGAGAGATCTAGGTTATGGTCCCCACTTGACCATGAAGGTCCCTGGGTGACTCTGGGCCAGTCACTGGCAGGGTTGTTGTGATGAAAGAGAGGAGGAGGATTGTGTCACCCGCTTTAGGTTCCTCGCAGGACGAAAGGCAGGATACACTGGAATGCACAAATACGTACATTTTAAGAGAAGATGCAGCTGAGAAGGAATTGACCAGTGTTATGGGTAACTTTTGCGTCATTCACCTCCGTTGTGCTGCGGGGGGAATTTATGCAGTCTGCTGAAGGATGCACTCTTTCCTTGACACTTTTTTTGTCTTAGTTGACTTCCCACATGTTGGGCTTCTCAGATTTTTCTTGAACAAGGAACCCTTTTTAGTTCTTCAGCCAATGACCTAGCCCAATAGGCTCTTGGCTTCTGTCAATGAACTGTGCAATTGTTTCTTCCCAGGCACGGATGAGAAAACGAACCTCGAGCTCATTATTCTGGTTGGAACGGCAGTAATTGCCATGTTCTTCTGGCTGCTCCTCATCATCATTCTCCGGACGGTTAAACGGGTAACGAAATCAACTCTCCCATCAGCATCTGTCTTGCATAGCAAATGAAAAGTGACGGGCCTCCTTTTGTGTTGTTTCTTGCATTGTCTTTAAATCAACAGCCACATATTTCCCCTCTTGGTACCATCACATTCTTGCTGGGAACTGAGGGTGCATAAAGTTTTGCTTTTTAATTGACCAGGCATTTAGTGAAGAGATGGTTTTGGGGAGGCCGGGGGGGGAATGTGCTTTTTCAGATATTAATCAGGCAAGTCATTAACAATAATTTGTGGGCACATAGCTTGCAGTGGAGTGCAGGGAAACTGCACATTTGCATTTTTGTGGACTAATGATGATGATGAAGATAATGTTCCAGTGAAGCCAGTAATTGTGACCAACTGAAAATTGTCCAACTGGCAAGGATAACTTTTTTAATGCATCCTGATGCTTCTTTTTTTTTGCAGGCCAGTGGAGGGGAACTAAAGACTGGCTACCTCTCTATCATCATGGATCCTGATGAAGTCCCTATGGATGAGCAATGTGAGCGTCTCCCTTATGATGCCAGCAAGTGGGAGTTTCCTAGGGACAGGCTAAAGCTAGGTATGCATTCTTCTTTGGAATAGCGGAAGGAATGTCTCTTGTCCTTGAAACTGGAGGATGCTTTGTAGGCTTTGATTTCAACCAAACCTCAGCAGAGGAACCTCAGGTACAAGGCATGGTGTGAAAAATCCTTAGCCTGAGGAGTACCTTTCCATGGCTACAGAGTCATCACAGAGCACTGACGGCTCTTTGTTTTCTTGTTATCCAGGTAAGCCGCTTGGTCGGGGAGCATTTGGCCAAGTCATTGAAGCTGATGCATTTGGCATTGACAAAGCTACTGGCTGCAGAACCGTTGCTGTCAAAATGCTCAAAGGTGAGAATCAAGAACTTCCTATGAATTAAGTGCTGGGCAGTCAGTACCTTGTAATGGCAGCAACCTTATGTGTGTGCCCCATGTGACACTTTGTTAGTACACATGGGTGGGAAAGGAGGATGAGCAGACATAACTTTGCGTCCCTTTGTTGCCATTCTTGTTGTACTCTTGCCGTAGCAGGACATTTTTGCCGTGCCACAGGCCACCCTGGCTCTCCTGTGGTATTGGGCAGGTGTGAGGAAGGCATCTGGAGCAACTGCAAAGTGCCAGAGGATAAAACTAGGTTGGTCTGAGAAGGCTTCAAAATGGCCATACTGGATGCTGTTTCGCTTTGTTTTTAGCCATTATTTTACCTTTGGGGGGCAGCAGGAGGAGGTAGGAGTTGAAGCACTGACAGCTGTAAGATATATGTTTCAATACGACATGAGCTGTAAGATCTTCAGTCCACTGAGTAATAGTTGCTGGGTGTTTAGCCTTCCACGCTTAATGTTTCTTTACATCTGCTATCACCCTTAGTCTACACTTCAGCTGCCCATCTGTTAATCCCCACAGCACAGGAACAAAACCATATGAGCATCCAGAGTTACCAATGATTTCCAAGAACAAAATTGATGCAAGGTGTACCTTCTAGCTGAAAAGAAGCCACCACAAGCCATGTCCTCTTCATATGACTCAGCAAGGAATGGGTCACATTACATCTCCTGCATCCAGCAGAGCTACCTAGCTTCTTCTTTTTTTAAAACCCAGTCTCTCTGGTGTCCAGTACCCATGAAACATCAATTTCTGTGGAATCATTCTCAGTGGCTGAAATAGGCACATATCAAGCTAAGGCAACTTTCCATTGTTTAGGGTGTATAGAGCATTCCAGTTCCCTATTCCATTCCTTGCTAGCATAATGAACATGCACTTCATACATTTCAGATACATTTATCAGCATCTACTGTAGGCTTAGCTGCCTGTGAAGCTGCAATTAATTGCTCCAGCAGTATATGGGGTGCTAAAGTATTCATTGCAGACATTGGAAGGTGCTGTAATATATTTTAACCTATCAATAAATAAATGATCTCTATGACATGATATTGAAAATGGTGAAAATGCACTGTCCATATTAACGGTTGACAGTATAAATTCTACTGTCAACCAGTTCCTCCAGAAAACTGGCTGTTTCTCTTTTTCATATCTGGATGCCCCATGAGAGTTAAGTTTGCATGAGAATAAGGATCAAACTACAATTGATGAGATTTTGGGTTCACACAACACAACAAGCCAGAGGATGGGTTGAGTGTAGGTTATCATTCAACCATGGATTACTGTTGTACTGTAGGTTCTGCTGTGTGAACCCACCTGGGCTAACAGACAAACAACATATGCAAATAACCTCATAGTTTGTTGTTGATTGGTGAACTGTGGGTTGTTCCTGCTTAAGCCATGATTTGCTGGTGTGGCTGGGTTCATACAACATAACAATCTGTGGTTCACTGATAACTGACCCTCAACCTGTACTGTGACTTATTGTGCTTTGAGAATTAGGTACTTAAGTATGATGTGTCTCTCGTTCTTGAAAGAGGGCGACATTCATTTCTTCTGAATGTCCCTGTCCATTCATCAATCCTTTGTAAAAAAAAAAATACTGGTGTTGTGAATACTTATTCCAAATGGATGTATCTTTTTGGTATGTTCCTGCTATTGGTGTTTTTGTTTATACTTCCCCCACTTTTTGTTTTGCTCTGTTATAAATGCAAATACAATTCCAAAACAAACAAACAAAAAAGGAGAACAGAGGTCCAAGTGCCGTCACACAGGATATTGCTTAGCAGTGTCATATTGCAGTAAAGAAACCACACAGACCTCTGGGACAGTGCATCTCTTTCCCTCTTACCTCGTTAGAAGGTGGCTGATGAACCTGCATGGCTACCTTATGGGTGATGTGTATCCACTGACTATCTGTTCGTCTATCTGTCCATCTGTCCATCCATCCATCCATCCATCCATCCATCCTTTTCTTTTCATTTCTAGAGGGTGCCACACATAGTGAACACAGAGCACTGATGTCTGAGCTCAAAATCCTCATTCATATTGGCCATCATCTCAATGTGGTGAACTTACTTGGGGCCTGCACAAAGCCAGGAGGTAAGTGTTGGAAGACTGTTGCTGCTTTTGGCAGGAGGGCACAGCTAACTGAAAAAAAACACAAGTACTGGCGTTCGATCCTACAAGTCCACTGGAATTTCAGGCATCTTATTTCGCAGACACTTGTAGCCTAGGATCAGCAGTCAAGAAAGAGAAGCCAGAAACATAAACAAAACCATTCAGCTGAGCAACACATTAAACAACAGCAACAAAAAATTGGAGTTTCCCTACCCTGCTTGTGGTTTGTATGTGGCATAACCTTTTCTAGACCCTTTCGTGGATCTCTAGAGAGTCACTGCATACGTACATCCACATGCAAATGCAGCCTGCCTGTTCAATCTGTCCATTCCCTTTTAGGGCAAAACTAGATAGTGATCTAGTGGACACATTACAACTGAGAATGAGTTAAACAAACCATCATTAGCTGGAGTTTAGGAGCAGCAAATGAGTGTCCTGTTTCTTGCCCACTCCCATTTTGCATTAGCTTTCATATATAATAGAGCAACACTGAATTTCTTTGCTTTGTGCCAACCTGACATTCTGGCTTGTTGAGGACAAACAATCCAGCATTTAGGTTAAGATCCTGGATTGTTTGACTGAGAGCATCAGGCTTCCATGTCACATCAAAGAACCCATCAATGCTGAAGGGGTGAGCATGCACTGGGAGAGTTCTTCTAGACCAAAAGTGGAATGCCAAATAAAACTGGGAAACTGCAAATAGTGACAGTGCTTTGTGTTTCTCATAACACTAGAATTCTGGGTCATCCAAAGCAGAGGCTGGACGGTAGTTCAAATGAAGCAAATCCTTCAGACACAATTATTCTATGCCACATATGTAGTGATGACCACAGAGCCAAATGACTTGAAAAATAGGGAGGTGGTTAGGCAAAACGATGGAAAGCCCATTTATCATTACTTGCCATGGTTTAGTTTCATTCATTTTGTTTATTACATTACTATACTTCCCAATAGCCAAAGCTGCATATGCTGTGACCATGCTTAAGCACAATGAAATCTGATTTGCCATTTTGGCCCACGCTTCCTATTGAATTTCATTGTTCCACTCATAAAGTAGACAAGACCATCCTTAGGGGTGGATAACTTGTTGCCTTACAGATATTTTGACATACAACTCCCATCTTCCTTCACCATTGTAGGACAAAACTTCTGTAAAGCTGCAAATTGACACCTCTGTCCTAAATTCAGAAAAAGTGGATCAGGTGCTGTTCCCTGTGTTGCTTATTGCCTGAAATGCCAAGGAGGAAAGACTGCAGCTGTGTTTATTAAGGGAAATTTGCTTTCATATAAAAGCCTTGAAAAACTGACAAGGGAAGATCATACTCAGTTTTTCCTTTGTAATCAGTGCCCTTTCCCTGCCTTTCCCTGTCCCCACATCGAGTATGCATGTGTAAGCGTCAGTATGGATTGCTACGGGTTTTATGCAGATAAGCAGAATGCCGACACCCTTATAGGCAGAGCATATAGGTTATGTGATGGTGTGTGCAAATCAGCCATTTGTGTTACAAATGGCCTGCAAAAATGTCACCCGACAGTTTGCATAGGTCTCAGCCAAAAGCGCTCATCCAAAAAGTCAATGAGATCACATTTGTGTTCTTAATTTTATTTATTCAGGTCCACTCATGGTGATCGTAGAATTCTGCAAGTTTGGAAATCTGTCCGTTTATTTAAGAAGCAAGCGAAGTGACTTCATTCCGTACAAGGTGAAGTCTGCATGAAATGCAGGGAACAATTCTCTTTTCTAGTTTAAGAGATTTTAAATGTTTACACGATGAGATCCACTGTTGTTTCTAATGGCTACACTGTAAGATCCACTGATATTACTAATTATTTCATTTAAATTAAAGCAATTGAGGGCCAGTGGGCAGGTTTGCATGTCACAACAACCAACCCCGCAAATAAGCTTCATAGTGTGGGTGTCTCCTGAAACACCCCATGGTGCCCCCAAATGGTCAGGTTTACCCTGGGTTATCCCCTCTTCCTGCCTAGGGTCTCCCAGGGACTCTGCGACAGGAACCGGCTTCCTTCTGCCCCCTTGCCCTTTATTCTTTTCAGCTCAGTGCTTCCCTGTACCCCGTCTGGGTTCAGGCAACACAGCAATCCATCATGGGTACAACAACCACAAAACAAACAGTGGGTTAGCAGGGTGACTTGTTGCCCGCAAGCAAGCCACCCTGTGGGAAGTGACCTCAATTTTCACAAGACCCGTGGCTAGTTACCCACAGTGGGTTTCTGTGTCATGCAAACCCACTCAGAGTATTATTCCTGCAACAGCATTGCTGTCCTTGGTAGAAGCGTGTAAACTGTGTCGAGTAAACAGGGAAACAACTGTTCAGCTCCACCAAAACCTGGTTTTTTGCCTCCCGTATTTGATTTCATCTCCTGGCTAAAATTTCCTCCAGTCTTTAGGTTTCAGAAAAAGCATGGGTATTGAATTCTTTTGCTTTCTGCCACAATAGGCTAACACAAATTCTGTTTCCTCCTCCTTTTGTTTTTTTAAACATCATAGGCCCACAATGTCAGGGCTAGGCATGGAAATGGTGACATCTCAGCAGACCTGAAGAAACGCCTGGACAGCATTGCAAGTAGCCAAAGCTCAACAAGTTCAGGTTTTGGGGAGGAGCGATCACTCAGTGATGTGGAAGAGGGAGAAGGTGGGATTTGCCTTCTGTTGTGTTTTATAAGCCCTTCAAACAGCCTTCCCCAACTGGGTATCTCCATAAATGTGTTGGGCTGCCATGCCAATCACCCTCAGTCAGCATAGCCAATGGCCATGTTGGCTGGGGATAATGAGACTTGCACTCCAATACATTAGAAAGACGCCAGTTGAAGAAGGTGGTCTTAGAAAGTTAAGACTGAATGTTTGTTTACTTCAAGTGATTTTTTTAAAAAATAAGCCTTAAGTTTGAAGAACAGGAAGAGATAAATAAAATAAATAAATAAAATTTAACTTTAAAAAGCTTTTTAACTGCCCAGAGAGCTTCAGCTATTGGGTGGTAGAAAAATGAAATAAATAAGTAAAGAAAGAAAGACTTAACATTCCTAACAAATACAATGCTATGTGTATCTACTGAGAAGTAAATCCTATTGATTAATGGGATTTACACCTAAGTAAGTCAGTGGGGGATTGCAGTCTAATGGTGTAGCTCTGTTTAAGTTTAGACAGCAAAAAGGCCTACAACTCCCAGCTGTAGGCCCTTTTTCCATCCAAATGTGCCTTAAATCACCAGTTCTCCTGCATCATAAAACAGCAAGCAAGAACTGTAGGGATGGAAACGGGAAGACAGCTTTCCTTTGTACTTAGTATGGACAGTATTAATCAGGATGTAAGGTATCAGTATTCATGGTATATAAACCAGTCTTTCCCTTTCCAGCAATGTCTGAAGATCCTTGCAAAAACCCTCTAAGCCTGGAGGACCTCATCTGCTATAGCTTCCAGGTGGCCCGTGGGATGGAATTCCTGGCATCTCGGAAAGTATGGAATTTCTGTTAGGGAAATGACACATCTCAGATGACTCCCTGTTTCAGGAAGTGATTGAGATAGGATGGCGCTTAATAGAAGGAAGCTGTAATGGTCATGTCCGGTGCGCACTCAACATTTCTGAGCACTCAGAGTCTAAGCCGTTGATCTTAACCAAGTGCTGTGATAGGAACGCCAGCATTTGTTATTTCAGCCCCAGGCACATGCATCCATGTGGGGTGAGGTTGCCCATTTTGTCTGGCCACAGGGATGAAACCTATTTCACTACGTGTCTGCCCAGCTGTTTAATTAATCAACTGATTAAGCTACAGTCCTATGCTTGCTTTACAAGGAGTAAGCCCTGTTGAACTTACTGGGATTCACTTCTGAGCAAACCTGATAGGATTGCACTGTTAGTTTATATCCCATTTTTTCAACTAAAACATTTATTAAAAACATTGGATACCTCAGGAGCCACACTCTCAAACAAATCAGCCCCAGCAGAGTGGGAGATGGTGTGTGATCATTCTTCCAAAAGGGCAATTGGTGGTAGATGGCCCTGGGAGAGGACAGTCCAGCTGGAACAGACCCTGTTGCCTTCTTGGCCTCCTTGCTTTGGTCTCCTTTCCCATGGGGAGCTGGTGGTAGATGACCTTGTGTTTGGGGGCAACAGCTGGGAGAGGCTGAGGAGCATTAACTCCTTCACCACATCATCACAACTCCATAATTTTTACCTGTTAACAAAGGAAACATCAGAGCCTACACGGCCATTACCTATGCATATATTTCATTGATCTATTAAGAGCTATTACAGACAACTCCTTAACGTGGTTCCTTTGTAGGATTTTACCACTACAGGGTACTTGGGAAGAACTGATTGTTTTGAAAGGTCTCCCAGGTTTATAGCTTAGCCTTCTCCCTTGACCTATCCTTTCCAGGTACATGGATGTTTTGGTACGGATGAATTTATAAAAACAGAGATCTCCTCATTGATTTCCTGGAGTGGTGTAGTCTTTTGAGAAGACTGTGTTGTAACAGAAAGAGCATATTGAAATTGAGTCTCCTGTTTATTTAAACATCTTACAATGAGATCCAGAAGGAGCTGAGCCTTCCAAAGAGTGCACCACTTAAGGGCATGTTCCTGCGGGTTGTGTGCTTGATGATCATAAGTCTGCAAATATGGAAGCTTGTGAGCATCCGGAGCAGAGTGGGAGGAGCAGTGGAGGCAATCCATGGCTCCTGACTCTTCCTGCCCTGCATTTATCTAGACGGCTATTTTGGGCCGGCTAGCTGGGACACTTCTGCAGGGGAGGAAAGGAGGCCACAGCGGATACAGGAAATGTTGTATCCTGGCTCTGCAGCCTCGCTCCCTCCCCTGCCCCCTCCCCCCCACCAACATCTTTGCCTCGGAGGGAGAGGCAGCCAGCATGGTTATTCATGCACCGGCTCTGAGGGAGGTTGGAGGAGGAGCAGAGCCCAGATTTCCAGCTCCAGGGCCTGTTTCCAGTCTCAGGGCTGTGAATCCAAAATATTCCCTGCCCCACCCAATGATAGCTAGGAGCACAAGATCCGTCTTGCCAGTAAGGTTAGCAAAGTTGTAGCAGTGGTGACTCTTTGGAAGAATTCAAACAATAAACCTATTGTTCATCTCCTTACAGTGCATCCATCGTGATTTAGCAGCTCGCAATATCCTCTTATCAGAAAACAATGTGGTCAAAATTTGTGATTTTGGATTGGCCCGCGATATCTACAAAGATCCAGATTATGTCAGAAAAGGAGATGTAAGTTTCAGTGCCTGAATTTACAATGAATTGGGAATGATGCTACCAGTGGCATTATAATAGAGATATGTAATGCTTCATTTTCTTCACTGTTTTACTAATATTTTGCATTAGTTTTATTTGTATATTTTCTGGTTTAAACTTTTACTGTAAACTGCCCAGAGAACCTTCTTTTCATTCTTGGACCTTAAAGAAATATTGAAAGTATGACAACAACAAAATGCTACCTTGTTATTTCTTAAACTTCTAGGCTCGACTACCACTAAAATGGATGGCGCCAGAAACCATTTTTGATAGAGTATACACAATTCAAAGTGATGTGTGGTCCTTTGGAGTACTGTTGTGGGAAATATTTTCATTAGGTATGACAAATTTGGTTGCTGAGTGGACATTCAAATTTTAATAAAAGCTTCTGAAATGTAATTATATTTAGCCTCTCTCTCAGAATTAGGAAATGTAAGAGCTTCTCCATAAATGCAAGTACAGCTATTAAATGGTTATCAAACATTTAACTAAAAGTGTGTTTGACACGTTTTACTTTTGTTGATCCTGTACAAAACATACGAAGATAGAGAGATGGGTGGGTTATAGAATCAGTTGTACTCCAATTCTGTCAATTGCAGTGGGTCTGGAAGTTGCCTCTACCTGATTTTTGGGAATCACCCCTTCCCCTCTCCCCCCAGTCCCTATTCAACAGGCTCCCCAATCCTTTGGGATCCTTTTCAGGAATGCTGCTGGGCAGAGGAATGGTGGGGTAGTCAATCTCTCCCAGATCCATTATGTGCAACTTCACTGTTTCTGACCCATAATAAATGGGCTGAGCCAGGATTATAAGCAGTTTTGAACTCTCTTGGGGGATTAACTAGCCAATCTATTTAAGCAGGCTGTACTGTTGTGGTGCAAAATTAGCTACATGTGATGCAAACAGCCTCTACCCAGTCAGAAAATATAAAATGTAGCAAATCAAAACTCAAATAAATGTCCAGGTGAACTTTCAGGGAAGGGTCTGATGCAGATGAAGTAGTTGTACTTGCGAATCCAGTTTAACTGATCCTTGATGGATGCAGCCTAAGCCATCCCCAACAACTTTACCTAGTTCTCATACTCATGAGGAGGTTGAAAAGCAAGATCAGAATATTTAGCAACTCATTAAAAGGAACTCTTCTGATTTTAGGGGCCTCGCCATACCCTGGTGTAAAAATTGATGAAGAATTCTGTAGGAGGCTGAAGGAAGGAACCAGGATGAGGCCTCCAGACTATACAACACCTGAAATGTAAGAACATTTGCTGATGTAAATATGCTTTACTGCAGACGTTAACTCACCCTGAAATGGGGCAGGAAAAAATATTCACAAATAATTGTGCCACAGGTGGCCAGTGGAGTTTGGAAACTAATGGGGTGGATGGAGGAACAATAAGAAGCTGAATCTCTTTGGTGCCTTCCTTCCTTCCAATAGCACCATTTCAAGCACTTCTTGCTGCTTTGTTCTAATGATAGCTATTATTAATATGCAGAATGTGCTAACTCAAGGCAGTATTTCTTTTATAGAAGGGGAGGGCAATTTCTGGGCCTCCAAGATGTTTTGGCCTTCAACTCCCATTCACCTCACTATTGGCTATGCTGGCTGGGACTGATAGAAATCGTAGGCCAGAACATCTGGAAGGCCACAAATTGTCCAGCTCTGCTTTTGCTGAATCTTGGTTACTATTGTTTTTATGTTACCAGGTACCAGACCATGTTGGACTGCTGGCATGGGGACCCCAAACAAAGACCTACTTTCTCAGACTTGGTGGAACACCTTGGAAATTTACTGGAAGCAAGTGTTTGTCAGGTATGTTAATACACCTCAAACTGTTACCAGCTCCCTGAACAAAAATACTGTTTGTCAGAAATACTGGAAATGTAGAAGTAATTTTTGGTTGTCTTTTCCATCAGGATGGTAAGGACTATATTATCCTTCCACAAACTGCACTGCTGAACGTTGAAGAGGATTCTGGACTGTCCTTGCCAACTTCACCTGTTTCCTGCATGGAAGAAAAGGAAGTCTCTGATCCTCAGTTCCTTTATGACAACTCTTCAGAAATGAGGTTTGTAATATACTGAGCATCCCACTGGGGAATGCTTGTCATTCTGCTGCTCCAGCCCCTGCTGTCGCTATGTGAATGAGACAGTGATGTGAATGAGGATGGTATTTATACTGTTCATGTTCTGTAGGCTGCAATCTCAGAGCCTTTCAGAAAGCCAACATGGTGTAGTGGTTAAGTGCATGGAACTGGGACTCAGGCGATCTGGGTTCTAGTCCCTGCTCAGCCATGGATTGCACTGGGTGACTTTGGGCCAGTCACAGACTCTCAGGCCAACAGGGATATTGTTGTAAGGATAAGATTGGGAAGGGGAGGAGGAAAATTATGTAAGCTGCCTAGAGTTCCTTGATAGGAAAAAGGTGGGATATAAGATGAGAAACAGTGAGAAAGGAAGCAGCTGCAAGACAATTTATTTCTCATCACTCACAATTGCCAGGCACTGTATAAATCTGGCTTCCAGTGATAACACGGTGAACCATTTTTGCTTTGGATATTTTAATTTTTCTAGCATCCAAAAATAATATTTTAGCATCCCAACCATATTTTAGTTCAGATATTCTGCCTATTAGGAACTATTTTGGTTTACCTGTCATTCTTAGATCCCACTTAACCTTTCTAGGTTTCACAAAATCCCCTATGGGTCCACTTCAATTTTTCAGAGATTTTGCCACTGGTAATTTCTAGGCATGGGCATTAGAGATCTCTGTCATGGAAATATGGGTGGGGGAGCTGATTGTCACCAAGTTAGGAACTGTTCCAGTTCAGATGGTTTTCTTTGGAGAAAGGCCTTGAGGAAAGTGGAGTTGTGCAGTGTTCAGTGCCAATTCCAACAGTTTTTGAGAGGAGTTTGCTGACTCAACTTGTATCTGTCTCCAGGCCTGTTAGAGGTCTCTGAAGCAGAGTCCAAAGATTTACCAGAGCTATCCAAGCTTCTTTGTTTGTTGTACTTCATACAGAACAGTTTGCAAAATAAGAATTCAGAAAGGAGAACAATATGTTTAACACAGAAAGCAACAGATTTTATTTTATATTTTTCAATAAAATGTCTCTCTTGGGTTCAATTCAGGAGAAATGTTTTCAGTATCAGAGAAAAAAATGACTCTGTCTTATGATTGGCCTCTTTTTTCCTGCCTGGATTAAAATATCCTCATGGTAATCTGTAGCAACCGTAATAAACCAAACCAGGATCCTGCGACTGTTCTCAAATTATATTTCCAGTATGTCAAGCAGTAAGAAAAGACCTGGGTTTGGATTCACTGTAAATGATCAAGACAAGTTGGTCACAAAAAGTCAAAACTAGCTCAAATGGAAAAAAAAATGCCTAGCAAGTCCTAAAATACATTTTCTTACAGAGGCTTTCTCTGTGAAACTCCTAAGTAGGTTGAGGTTCAGCACAGCATGACTTGTGGCCCATTCAAAGCAAGCACAGTCATGAATTGTAATGTTCCAGCAGCTTAACTCCATTTTCTGCTGTCCCAGTGCAGGTAGCAAAACCCAGAATTCTGTATGGCTCCCCGTCAGCTCTCTTTCTTTCAGTCTGCACTGCAGAGGATCGCAAACAAGGAGACCTGGCATAGGATGGTAGGCATCTGTGTTTTTATCAGCTCCATTAGTATTGACAAAAATGGTGCATTTGTTTTTCAGCCAGCACCGCAAAGGAAGTAAAAGAAAAAGCCGTCCTGTGAGTGTTAAGACCTTTGACTCTGTACCAGTAGAAATCCCAGCAAAAGTGGTTCAAGAAGTGAGTTTCTGTCACACGCTTTACTGTTTGTGTCCTGTGATCGTTTTTGTGCATTTCCTCTGGCACATGTATTTGGGGGATCATTCAAGCTGGGTGCTGTCTTTTGGCATTTTTCAGGATAATCAGACAGACAGTGGGATGATTCTAGCATCTGAAGAGCTAAGGACTCTAGAAGAGAAACCTAAGCAACTGATGTTGCCCTTTAGGTATGTCTGGACAAGCCAACACAATGCACATTTTCATTTTAAGAGTGTGTAGACCAGGGGTCAACATATGAAAGAAGGCGGCTAACATTGCATGCCGCTCCCTTGGCCACCTTGCCTCCTACCCTTGTAATGGGGCCGTCTTGTCTGTCTACCCTCCACTGGTTGTCCTCATCTCTATTTCCATCCTCAAAGGGTGGGGGGCAAAAATTTTCAGGATACAAAGTGTGTAGATGCTTCCTGAGCCAGCCTTCTCCAACCTGATGTCTTTCTGGCCATCCTTAGGCAGCCTTTCCCAATCTTATGACTTCCAGAAGTGTTTGCCTACAACCCAATCATCCCTAGCATTCCCATTAGCCCCGTTGTCTGGGGATGCTGGGGGCTATAGTTCAACAAATGCCCGACAATGAGTATAGTATTTTGAAGGGTTTTTTTCTTCCCACTGAGCCATATGCAAGTGCTGGCAACTAAGCCTATAACTGCCCCATTCATTTTCATTTATCACTCATCCCAAAGTGATGAGTGTGGCAGCTGATAACACTTTGGGAGTGCAGGATCAATCAGGGTTCCAGAACAGTGACATAGCTTGGTCTGTTCCCTGGTTGCTGCAGTGCCATCTCTAGCTTTGTGACCCAGAGGTAGTCCAAGTTGCATAGTTGCTTGCCGCTCTGATCACCTTGGGAAAAGATCTGTCAATTAAAATAGCAGTAAACCTATGGCCTAGTGTTACATGTTGTAGTTTGCTGCTTTGGGCCCTTTTCCAGGCATCATTCTGGACTTCTGGGCTATGAGCTCCTGAACCTGCACCCAATGATCTGGCCTTGATCATACACCTACCAACCACAAATCCCAGTAATAGCTCACAACTGTATTGCCACTAAGACAGGAATGAAATATTTATGCAAAGAAAAACAGGGATGGATTCATACATACATAACAACACAATGCCAGTCAAAATCTGTTTCAGCAGGTTGCCTTTATTAAGGGCATATCTGTAGATTGTGAGTCTTTGGGAGAAAATATTTTCTGATCCACTCTAATTGTTGCTAATTTAATCTGAATCAGATTCTGATGTGCATTCTCTTGCTATGTATATATGCATTCGTTCCTGTTGTTATACACTGTCGACAATACAGTTGTGGATTTTTATTGAGAGTTGTGGTTAGTGGACATTATCTTAAAATCCCTAATGGTGGTATAAGCTGGTTCCAGTGGTGCCACAAGGTTTGAATGGAAGCAGTTCAGGAAGAGGACAGGCCAAAAGACAGCCATTCTTCCAAGGGAGCCATTCAGTTCAACAGAATGGGCCCTGCTTCCTTTCTCTTCCTCAGCTGCAGTGCAGCAGAATTGCCACCATTAGATGACATCTGAGAGAGAGTAAATTCTGGATGCAGCTGACCAGCACCTGCTCTCAACAGAACTGAGGGAACAGACTCTGTTTCACATTTCTTCCTCACCTGTGCCTAGATGATCCATGTTTATGTGGGGGAAAAAACAGGAGCAAATTTTTCCAAGCATGCGGTAAAGTTGCTAATATTTGTTTTCATTTTGCAGTGGTCTGGTTCCCAGTAAAAGTAACGAATCCGTTATGTCCGAAGCTTCCAATCCAACAAGCGGCTACCAGTCAGGCTATCACTCAGATGACATGGACACAACAGTTTACTCTGGTGAAGAGACAGAACTTTTAACTCTCAGGGAGGATGCTTCTCAGACTTGCTGTGCATTGCCATACAGCCCTGGGGTACCTCTAAGTCCACCTCCTGTTTAAGAAAGCCTTCAGAAGAAGCATTAACTGGAACTTTTGCATAACATTGCCTTTTTCTTAAACCAGTGATATTTGATACCTGGAACATCTACATTCACAGGAATAGGGAAAAGTATGCGTTATTCCACATCTTCTTGGACAAGATGACACAGAATGCTAAATGGAACAGAGGATCCAAAGTCATTGCTTGAGAGAGCTTAAACTAAGTCACCAAATAGAGTTTACACCTGTGACTTTGTGGTTTCGTGACAAAGAGAGCATTGCAGCCTTTGGGACATCCTTGAAGGGTTATGCTGACACCCCGTTGCTGTGCAATTGTGTGAAGATGGAATAGTGTTTGGCTACAATACTTTGGACTTTCAGACTTGTCAATGATGAAGTATGAACAGGCCCTGGGCATTAATCTTCAGGAATTCAACAATACAGCCAGTATTGTTTCCTGACCTGTAACATTCTCTTAAACTTGTATTTCTCCCATTAAAATAAATCTTCAGTATAAATGTCACTAATAGATACTGGTGAACCAGGGGAATAATGGTGAAATACATATGAGACTACTAGTCAAAAGAAGAGCTACTCTTTTTGAAAAAGGCTGTGCAGGCCTTTATGAACTGAGGTTCTCCTTTCAATGGATGTTTCACACTGAAATGACTCAATATGTACAGAATTGGTGAAATGATCCAGGAGTTTTAACTGTATGATTTGGTGATCATCACTTTATTTGATCAACAGTGTAAGTTTGCCTTTGAGATACAGATCCAAGCTTCTTGCTAGGAAAAACATGTCTCAAATGTAGTTTCTATGTAACCCAGCAAATGTCAATAAACTCATATGTATTAATGACATTAATTACTAGTTGCTCAGATCTTCTGGCTGATGTTGTTTAATGTAGAAATTGGTAGACCATTTTCTGGTTCTTTCCCCTGCAGAGTTCTAAGAACTTAAACAATGTAAAAAAAGGAAAAAAAAAAAAAAGGAAAAAACTCCTGTGCTATTTGACTGATGTTACTTTGTGGATTTTTATTCATGATTTTGAATTTTGTATAATATGTCAAGAGTTGGAATCTCATCAGTTAACAAGAATGGCACATATAGTATTTATAGTTTGAGTAGAAAGAAATATAATATATTAAAATAAATATTATAAATAATGACAAAGCAGTGGGCCTTTCTTCTTAGTAAACATGACTCTTAATTAGAAATGACTTTAACCTCAGACTGAAAACTTTTGGATGCAATAATTTTGCATGTAAATATTTCTGTTTGTCACTTTGCCTATAGTAGATACATTCTGTCTGCTGTGTCATTTTTATGCTTCCTTTTTGCAGAAATCCTATACAATGGATCAATAAATTAAAGTTGTGTTACTTTATTTATATGTTCACATTTTATTGGGTGATCCTTTCTCCTGCAAAACACATTTTAGAAGTAGTGCAGATCAGCAAAGGGAAAACCTCACACCTGGTTTGAAAGGAAGTTGGCTGTGCATGTTTCTCTTTTTACATGTATTCTGTTTCAGGAACAAGTGGTAATCTGTTGATCTATTTAGCACTCATCTACCCTTCTTTTCTTAGACTTTTTCATTGAAAGGCACCTGGTCTTTCAAAATATATATTCTCAGTGCAGTATTCTTGGCAAAACATTAGCTGAGTTATATCTAGTTCAGCAGATGTCAGTATTTTAATTATGAAATGCATGGTAAATACAATCTCATTCAAAGACTCTGGACTCATGACTGATTTAATGTCTTTCTGCTCACCTATTTGTCTGCCTCTTTGTCTAAACTTTGGGGATTTGGGTGGTACAATGCAGTTGCCTTGGCTGTTTTACTGCATAGCAGTCCCAGAAAATTGTACTTACTGTGCAGCTCACTCTTACGCATGTTTACTTGGAAGTAAGTTCCACTGAGTTCAGTAGAAGTTTTTCCTAGAAAAGAATGTACATATTGAAACTTCAGCCATGTGCATCCATTGCCATACACATGATTCAGCCTTTGACATTCTCTTCAAAGGCTGGGAGATTTTTTTTTTTTCTTTGCAGTGAAATAGCCCTGGTCATCCTTGCATGCAGAGTTCAATACATCCACTTCTGCTCAGAATCATGCAGTTGGCCACAGCTGGAAACAAAACCTTGGACAGGATGGAACTTTGGTTTGAGCCAACAAGGCGGTTTTTATTTTCTTACATTCTGAAGGCCTGCCATGGGCAGTTGCTACAGGAAACCAAAATAGATGAAGTTTCCCACGGCTCACCATGCAGGGGCTCTGAGCAGAAGCAATATAAAATTAGCAAGATGATCTGGTAGACTCACACTGTTTACCTATCTCCTCTAACATTTCACAAATCAAGCATGATGATACGACAGTGAGGAATCCTTTCTGCATTGGGGTCTTCTGACTGGCTTTTTAAAAGCAGGTTCTCCTAATTTCAGAGCAAAGTATAATTTTGTTAGTTGTTGATCTTTTGTGAAGAGATGGGAAAAAAAGAATTCTTCTACAATACATAATCCACAGTTCAAGAGTTACCTCAACAGTGGAATGTATGACTAGAACACTGTGTGTTGCCTGCACATTTACAATGGTTCACCAATACCACAAAGTAGGAATGTTCCCTCCAGTAATCAGTAATTAGGAACATTTGGGTTACATTTGCTATATTAATGGTAGATTTTTAAAAAATGAAAGTTGTTAGAGCCTTCTTGTCCGTGGGTGACACAATATTCCGACAGCCAAGATGATGCTTCTGCCTTCCCCTAGAACATGAACTTTATGACTTTATGGCTATCATTGGATGTCAGGAAAAGTTCAAAGTATTCTTGCCAAGCTGCAGCAATATCTGATTCAGCTCTGTAGATAAACTATTCTTTAAAAAGGAGAATTCATCTACATTTGAATAGCCCTTGGATTATGCAAAAATGATGGATCTTTTCCTCTGCAATATTGAGACAAACAAGGAAAACAGACTTATGTGTTGTGAAAGAAGTTGCATTACCATGAAATGTATCTTTGCAGCTACAATAAAGTATGAGCAGTAGTAACAGAACTGGAAAACTGAAGCTTGCATAGATACATTTTTACTTTTGTATCAAGCTGCTAGGAAATAATTTAGGATAGCACTTCCTTGTTCTTATGAGCTTTAGACTTACATTCTCCTGGGCTGGTAACCAGGATTTCAATCCCTCACCCCTCCAGCATTTTGGTCTAAGTCCTAGAAAAGCTTCAGTGGGGTCATTTGGGAGTGGAGCAGGAGTTCTTTAAGATGCTTAAGTCCTTTAAGACACTGATAAGCACCTCAACATTTGAGATAATAAACTATTTAATGGAATTTTGGGAAGTTTGGGTTTCATTTCTCTGAAGCTCTAGAGTGTAAAGCATAATCTGCTCAAAGATATAATTAGCTGTTAACCCTATCAGGTTCATGATAAGAGGCATTCTGCTAACTCATAAATTGCAGCTAGTTCGGCTCAAATTGGCTAATGTAAAAATGTGCAAGGTTGCAGATTATTTGGCCTGTGGCATGCATAATGCAAGCTGGGCTCCACAAGGGACAGATTTAATGTGTTTGAGCAATGAAAATGGATTGCTAGCAGCCTGGACCTATGAGTTCCTCTTCTAAATCAGTAACATTGTTTTTACAAAGATAGGGCACAATGGATTGAGGATTGCTTACCTCAGATAGCATCTCTGGGCCTCTTGCCTTACTTTTCTACATGAGGCATTTATTGTGTGGCCATTATTTCTTACCATTCTTTGCAGGCTCTTCAGATGATGCCATGGCCTTCTAGGTTTGCTTCTGTGTCTGGCAGGGACATTTTGAGAATTTTTTCTTAGATTGGGGAAGATGTATTTAATTGTGAATGTTAAAGAAGGAAAAAAAAAGGGGGGGGGTAGCTGTACTAGTCCAATATACCACACTGCCATCTAAAGGTTTTGTAGCAGAGCAGCAGGACATACACCTTCCAGTAGTGCTTGGAACCTTGTGTTGGAAATATACTGTAAATATTTATATTAAAATAAATATTGTATTGGAACAAGGAGAATCCTGCTTTAAGACCTATATAAAGAATAGGAGGTGAGGAAAATCTGCAGAGTTCCATCTCTGGAGCTGTAGGGGGCCAAGACGACTGGACCACGGGAAAGCTTTTCCTCTGATTCCAACTTGCTTACTTGAAGATGGGCGACCAGCTCTTACCTTCTAGCTGAGGCACTCCTATCACCCCCATCCAGCCTGGTTATCTGATCATACATAGGCAAGAGCTCATTTTAGAGCATCCTCTATTGCAGCAATGGTGGCTCCTCTGTCACTCACACCCGGCCATTTGCATTGTTCTGAGGACTTTTATATTTTGGCCTTCAGTATAGAGAGAAGAGTTGCTTATAACTATTCTGACTTAGGTGCTGCTGCAGTTAGACCAGTTGCCTGCAGATGTGTCTCTGGCACCTGCTTGCCCAGTTGTGTGGGATATACTGCAATCTGTGCCAAGTGAGGGAGATGTGAATCTAGCCACATGTGCACTTGGCCCATATCCATCCTGATTAATAAGAGCTGCAAGGGGAAGAGCACCCAGGTGGGTGGCAAACATTGTGAATGTCTTCTTCCAGGAAGGTGTGGCCCTGGTAAGAGGCAGTACATGAAAGAGCCCCTCTTAGTCCCATCATATTAAGGAATTCTACCAGTCCCAGATGTTCCAGTGACTTCTCAGTTCTAGGTTTCCTTGGATGGTATGGATTATCTTGATCTATTTCAGTTAGATTTGGTTACCTTGGCTGATGCCTGAGATCAAGGACAGGGAGAGCATCTGCAAGTCTTTTCATGATGTCTGATAGCACTGACCATGGGATCCTTCTGGATTGGTTTACCAGAATACTATTGTATAGGGACTCTGGTTTTTCCAGAAACTGGTGCTGTGAGATTCCTGTTTAATGCCTTTGCTGATGGGGTCCGACAGGGTTACACGTATCTCCCATGCTATTTAATGTCTCTTCCTGAAACTGCTAGAAGTTGGTGACTGCAGGATACGTATGACACCCAACTCTCATTTTAGAGAGACATAACACTGAAAATCTGCCAAGTTACTTTCGAACCCAAGGCAGAAAACCCCACAAACACCTCTTTCTCTTCTCTTCCTCTTAACAACAAAGTTACCTAATTGACTAAGTTACTGTTCTTTCATAGAATTCAAAACCTGGCTCCTGAAGTGGCTTTGCCAAATAATAGGGTGAACTGGGCCCTTTAAGCTGCTCGCAGATATCCATTTTTTCCCTTCCAGCTTTTACCACTTGGCTGTGCATTTTCAAAGGACAGAAGACCCCATATCTGTATTTCAAAATCTACCTGAATGCTTGCTTGTCTCAATAAATTCCCACCTTACAAGGAGCCAAACAGGGAAGTGCAAACCATTAGGATGGAGAAATGCAGCCATTAATTTGCAGTAAAGCTTATTTCATGGGCTTTGTCTCATGGTGTACAATCTCACACACTGGCTATGTGGGAGGCTTCAGGAGGTAATTTTGCATTAACAGCTCTTTGGGCACACTTAAATGTTTAGTTTTAAATTACAGTCACCAAGACTTCTATACGTTTCCTGATAAAACTCTTAGCCTGCCAGCGGCAGTAGTGTCACAGCTTGGTTAAGTACTAAACCAGCATGGCATATGCAGATAAGGCAAATGCAATTATAGACACAAAGACTGGTCATATTATTAAATCAATGGCCTTTTCAACCACATCCCCACATTAGCGCTGCTATTTTCTTGATGAAGATAATTAGGTCTTATTAGCAATTTGCAGTTCACATTAATTTTTATGGATATTGCGGCGAGCACTGTTGTGGAATAATGTCGATTTGCCACCATGATTATACCCTTGTCGCCCCTATTTTAAATGTGTAGATCAATGCAGAGAAGTGTGCATGGATGCTGTAGAAGAAGAGGTCTGTGGTAGAATTTCAGGTTGACTATCAGTCCCAAAACTGTGCAGATTACTTCAGAAACATGTGTCTCTTTAGCTTTCCTTCTGTGTCACAATGTTCTGACACTTATCTGTGTTATGTACCTGCTTGATTGACAGGAGCTGGACCAGGTGTGAAGATGTTCTCTGACTGGATCAAAACTGCATTATAATTAGGCTTTTTCACCTAATTGCAAGAAGAAAAGCTATACTTACCTATGATAGGGAGTCAAAGCCAATCCCAGCTTCCAACTGTAAGTTGACAGCCACAGATGTTTTCCCCATGCCTGTCTTGCAGTTTTAGAAGAATATGTAAAGTGCTTTACTGATAATGGAGTATGATGAAGAAGAACAACTGTGGAAGAAGCAGCATGAACTGTGAAGGAAAGCGATCTATTGCCCATGTTCAATACCTATTTTGATTTTAATACCATAAAGAAAATTGTTCCATAATTTTTGGAATGTAAATACAATTAAATAGAAACATGCACATTTATTGTTGCTCCCCTCCTTCTTTGTATGGCTTATTAGATTAATTTGTATGTTCTTATACAAAAATGGCAAGAAAGTGTGGATTGGGGATGGGTCTTTGCTGGCCAAAGCATGATGTGTGAAGTAGC